TGAAAACCACAAAGGTTTGTGGCTTGCACCCTCTGAAACAGCAGCCCAAGCTATATCTGGGGTTCTCTGAGCTGAGGCTGGAGCTGGAGAGGGGAGTAGTGTCCTGAGGCTGTGTAGGGTAGCAGGTCCTAGCCCTCAAAACCATTATTTCCTCTCTTCAGGGCCTGTAATGGGAGGGACTGCCTTGGAGATTTCTGGAATATCTTGGAGGCCTTTTTCTCATTTTCTTGACTATCAGCATTTGGTTCTTTTTTCAGTTACACAAATATCTTTAGTAAATGGTTACTCCACTGCTTGCTTGAATTCCTCTCACAAAAACACTGTTTCTTTTTGCCACATGGCTGGGCTGCAAATTTTCTGAAGTTTTATGCTCTGCTTCCCTTTTAAATATAAATTCCAACTTTACATCATTTCTTTGCTTCCATATGTGATCGTAGGTTGTTAGAACCAGCCAGGAGACATCTTAAATACTTTGCTGTTTAGAAATGTCTTCCATCAGGTCCCTAGGCCATCACTCTCAAGTTTAAGCTTCCACAGAGCCCTAGGGCATGAACAGAATATAGCCAAGCTCTTGGCTATGGCGTAACAAGTGTGACCTTTCCTCTAGTTCCCAGTAAGTTCAGTTCAATCTGCGACTTCCTCAGCCTATACTTCACTGTCCTTATCACTATCTGTGTTTTGGTCATAACCATTTAACTGGTCTCTAAGAAGTTCCAAACTTTCCATCATCTGCTTGTCTTCTGAGCCCTCCAAACTCTTCCGACTTCTGCTGGTTACCAGTTCCAAAGCCACTTCTGCATTTTTAGGATTCTTTATAGCAATGCCCCACTCCTTGGTACCAATTTTCTGTGTTAGGCCTTTCATGAATTGGTCTGTTAATGAGAGTTAAACTTTGTAAAATATTTGAAGATATTTATTCTGAGTCAAATACAAGTGACCAGTGGCCTGAAGCACAGTCTCAAGAGGTCCTGAGAACATGTACCTAATGTGCCTAGTCAGACCACAGTTTGGATTTATACAATTAGGGAGACATAAGACATCAATCAATACATGTAATATATACATTGGTTAGGTCCAGAAAGGTGGGACAATTCAAAGTGGGGGCTTCCAGGTCATAGGTGGATTTAATAATTTTCTAAATTGTAATTGGTTGAAAGAGTTATTAATCTAAAGGCCTAGATTCAATAGAAGGAATGTCTAGGTTAAAATAAGGGATTGTGAAGACCAAGGTCCCCAGTATACATAAGAAGCTTCCAGGTAGCAGGCTGCAGAGAGAATAGATTGTAAATATTTATTAGCGCCAGAGTCTTAGTGGATTCTTTTCTGGAATCCACTAAGATTCCAGAAAAAAGGCCTGCAAAAGGAAGGGGATCCTCTACAGAATGCAGATTTTCCCCCAACAAGCGACAGCTTTGCAGGCCTATCAAGATATGGCCAAGAAACATAATTAGAGTTAACATATTTTAATTCCTTCTTTATCTGTCATGTGATGTTATGGCCAAGTTAGGTTGGACAGTGAGCCACGTTATATAGGGTTAAATAAAATCCCTCTGATAAGACTTTATGGTTTGTAGGATGTGAATCCTTAAGCCCCTTAGATAAGAATTTGGGCAAGAGAAGAAAAAGGTCAGAGTTTAGAAAGAAATATCTTAGACTGGGTAATTTATTAAGAAATGAGAGTTAATTGGCTCGTGGTTCTGCAGGCTGTACAAGTGAGGACTAAACTCTGATTTTTTATCTAGCCCAAATTCCTACCTAAGGGGTTTAGGGAGTCATGCCCTACAAACCACAAATTCTCATCAGATGGGTTTTATTTGAACCTATATATCATGACTTACTTTTCAGTCTGACTCTGGCATAACATTATGAGACAAAGAAAAAGTATTCAACCCCAAAATATATTTCCTTGCCATACCTTGAAATTGTCTTGCAAAGTTTCTTGTGAGAAAAATCCACATTCTATAGAGAATCCCCCTTCCCCTTTGTTTTCCTTCCTTTCTTTTCAGATCTAGGAGATAATCAAGTAAGAGCCAGGTACCCTTTTAAGTCCAATAAGAAAAATTTTACAGCCTGCTCTCTCTGAAATCTGCTGAGAGCTTCTTCTGCACAATATAACATGGTATCCACAATCCTTTATCTCAACCTGAACATTTTATTTGATTCCAGGTTTTCAGATAAACTCAATCTGTTGTCAACTAGAAAATATTTAAGTTTACCCGTAGACTAGAAGCCCCAGCTTTTGAGTTGTCCCGCCTTTCTGAAAGAAACCAATGTATTTCTTAAGTGTATTTGATTGATGTCTCATGCCTCTCTAAAGTACATAAAACCAAGCTGTATACCGACTACCTTGGACATATGTTCTCAGGACCTCCTGAGGGCTGTGTCATGGGCCATAGTCACTCATATTTGGCTCAGAATAAATCTTTTAAAATATTTTACAGAGCTCGACTCTTTTTGTTGAAACAAGCATGACACCAACAAATACTTGGCTTCTGGTGAGGGCCTCGGGAATCTTACAATCATGGCAGAAGGCAGAAGGAGAAATACACATGTCATACAGCAAAAGGAGCAAGGGGTAGGGGGAGGTACTATACCCTTTTAAATGACAAGATCTTGTGAGAACTCACTATGGTGAGGATGGCACCAAGCTATGAAGGATCTGCTCCATGACCCAAACACTTCCCAGTAGGCCCTATATCCAACACCAGGGATTATATCTCAACATGGGATTTGGAGGGGCCATCCAGATTTTATCATTGAGGTTCTATGGGTTTATGGTTTTCATCAAATTTGGAAAATTTTCAGCCATTATTTCTTCAAACATTCCCTTCCTCCCAAACTTTGTGGACGCTGCTTACACATACAAGTCAGGTCACGTGAAGTTTCCCACAGCTCACTGATATGCTTTCATGTTTGTTAATGTACTTTTTTTCTCTTTCATTTTTGCATAGTTTCTATTGGTTTGTCTTTAAATTTACCAGTCTTTTCCTCTGCAACATCTAATATGCTATCAATCCCACTGTTTTTTTTTTTTCAAATTTTATCTAATTCTAGTTTTCATCTCCAGAAGTTAGATCTGGGTCTGTTAAATATCTTCTATGCCTCTACTTAACTTTCGAACATATGGAAAAAGTCTTAGTAATGGTTTGAATGTTATTGTCTAGTAATTCTAACATTTGGATCAGTTTTAGTTTGGTTTCAAGTCTATCTGGATGACTTGTGGTATTGTATTTCTCTATTCATTTTTCTTCGTTTTTGACTAAATGGTCTTGTCTCCTGGAATACCTGGTTATTTTTTAGATTACTGGACTTCGTATATGGAAAAAAAAGTATAGATGATTTGATACTCTGGATTATCTTACATTCTTCCAAATCAGTCATGCTTAGGGCACTGGCAATCCTAGATTACCCTAAGCCAGTCAGGTATTAAGACAATTCATAGCTGGGTTTCAGTTCTTGTGAGGGCTGTTTTATTTACAGTTCATCTTTACTCCTTAGATTTTTTCTTTCTTGGGGTTCCCATTCTAAGCCTAGGGGTTTTAGCAGCATGCCCTTCCCTCTTATCTTGGTAGATTGTATTCTAGGTAGACATTTACTAAAATCCATTCATATTTCTTTACAGGAAAAAAATTGTAGAGTTCTCAAGATTAAGGGTAAGGTGACAGAAATCTTTGCCCTTCTCCCAATATGGTAGTTCTTTTTGTGCCCCAGAAGATGATTCATTTGATTACACCATTTTTGTGCCCTTAGCCCCTTGAATCTCAGCTTCTCAGCTACCTTTACTGGAATTGTCAGAAGATGTCGTTAGTAGATGTCTTTATGAGACAAGTGACCCCAGATACTGTAGTGACTTCCCTCAGTTTTTTTCTTCCCTATAATCTTGTTATCATAATTCTTCAATGACTTGGTTTGCTTTCTGGTATCTTCAAAACGTGTGTCTCTCTCTGTGTGTATATATGTGTGTGTGTATATATACATATATTTTTTACATATTTTGTCCATTTTTTGTCCTTCTCATCAGTAGGGCTGGTACAGATGAGGTAATGCAACCTGTCTTTATTAGAAGTGGAATTCTCTAGTGATATCTCTCATATCAAACTGCCTATTGTCTATTTAACATCACACTATCAGCATCTCAACTTACCATGGACCAAATGGACCATGATTTACCCCAGTCCCATTCCATTTTCCCTTTGTTTTTTGTTCTTGAGACATTGTTCCCCCAAGATTTTAACCTCAAACCCTGATTCACTTTACTTTTGTTTTTCCCTCCATCCCTCCATATCCATTGGTCACGGAGTCTTCAGTCATCATCTTCTCTCCGTCCCCATCATCATTATCTTAGTCCAGGTCTTTATTGGATTTTCCTTGAGCATTCTCATGCATTCCCATCTGTCTCTCTAGCCCATTGTACCCCCAACACTCATCTCCTCCATACTTGTAGCAAAACAAATCTGGTCATTATATTATTCTGACTGCACGTTTTTTGCTGGATTTTAATTCCCTAGAGAGTGTAATTGCCAAGGTCCCCACACCTGGGCCTCACCTTTCTCCAGTCTCCTCTCACTTCTTTGCTTGTCTGGGCAGCTTCTTACCCATGCCTTGTTTTTCTGGGGACCTGAATGTCCTCCTCCTCTTGTCAATCCCTCATTCTTCTCCTTATTCCTCAGTTTTCAGCTCAGCTGTTACCTCTTCTGATGTGGTAGTGGAGACATGTTCTATATTTGGTTAACTAATAAGTAACAAAGAAATAGAAGAATGAGGTAACCTGTATCATTTTATTAGTGTGTGTGACAGTGAATAGCAGTGAAATGGTTAACCTGAGAGAATAATTTAGTAGTACATAGCAGGAATTTTAACAAATGAATTACAATGAATATGTAAAATAAATGTATTTGAACTCAATCTTTTATTAGGTTTGAGGTTATGTTGTTATACTCTTTTATTTTTAAATGTTGTCTATTGAATGTGTTATTTTTGATTTTTGTTAATTTTCTCAGCTTCTAATCCTACGAGGACACCATCAGCCAATTACTGCTATGGCTTTTGGAAATAAAGTGAATCCACTTCTAATCTGCTCAGCATCACTGGATTATGTTATAATGTGGAACCTGGATGAATGTATAAAGAAAGTACTTCAAGGTAAGTGAAAATCTAAAACATGTTTTTAAAAACCTAGAAACAGAATAATTCATCCTTCAGTATACTTGGTACTACCCAAGGGACGTTTCCCTTGGGTAACACCAATCTCTCAGGGCAATTTAGGGTAATTTTGTATTCCCTTTACCTTGAACCCAGGTGTGCAAGCAGGGTGCTTTATATGGAGAGGACACCAGGCCCGTTCAGACTTACTGACCTTTGTTGTGTGTTATGCTGATCTTATAGGCTCACTGGTTTTGATATGTCACTTCTTATTTCAAAAACTGTCAATTTTGTGTCAACCTGAAAACATGTAGGCAAGTTGAAATATTCTGTTCTTGCACAGCACGGTTTCTTGAGCACCTGTAATTATTTAGGCTAGAAACACGGTGGTGAATAGGAAGGGCTTGGTCCCAAATCCTGTGGAAGTCACAGCTCAGAGTTTGAGACAGACAGATGCTGCCAGTGACTGAATGGCTATGAATTGTGGATGTGCAGCAGAGAAGGCAGATGAGGACAGGGCAGCACGCACGTGCATGGAAGCACTTTGAGAAGCAGGATCTCAAGGAGGAGCCTGTGGGCTGAGGATGTAAAGGGATGGGATAGAGGGCTATGCTTTTGGCAGATGGACCTGACTTTGCCAAGGCCCTGGGAGGGAAAAGTGAGAACCTCCTGTATTCTTGGAGCATGCTGATGTTAGGAGAGTCTTATCTGAGAAAGTAAAAAAGTTAGGTGGGGACCACATTAAGGAATTCAAGTTTTGTACAATTATATAGAGAAGTTAGAGGATTACATTAAAACACAAATGCAAAGTAACTATAAATCTATGTAGTCTATATAGGGATATAGCACACGTGTCTCTCTCTCTAGGCTTGGTGGCCGTGGGACATGAGCATGTGTCTCTCTAGACTTGGAGGCTGTGGGACATGAGCATGTGTGTGTCTCTCTAGACTTGGAGGCTGTGGGACACGAGCATGTGTCTCTCTAGACTTGGTGGCTGTGGGACCTGAGTGTGTGTCTCTCTAGACTTGGTGGCTATGGGACCTGAGCATATCTCTCTCTAGACTTGGAGGCTGTGGGACACGAGCACGTGTCTCTCTAGACTTGGTGGCTATGGGACATGAGCCGTGTGTCTCTCACAGGCTCTGAGGGGAGTATATCTGTATTTTGCTGGTGATAGGTCCATGGTGCACACCAGGACCAGATAACCTTGCCCGCCATTTTTTCCTTCATCTCTGCGGGTTTGGAGAACAGGCTTTGCATCAGGCTGCAGCTGCTGCACATGTTGTTTGGGTCTCGGGAACCTCCTGGCTGTTTGTAGGTGTCCTGACATTGCTTAGTCCCTGGAGGCCTGGGTTGGATCAGCTCCTACTGCCTTCCTTCCAACTGATGTTGGCTGAGCCTGGACATGAGGGTGCATGTGGGGTTGATGTGGGTGAGAAGCATCAAAACATGCAGTTCGATGTGCATGACTCTCACTGCAGCCTCCAGAGAAAGGCATCTTCCTGTTTTGATGCTGAGGGATTCTCTGCAGGGAAGTGCTGCATTTCCCAGGTTTTCAGACTTCTGTATATTCAGTATATTTGATATTCTTAAAGAATCAAAATCACATCAAAACTCATTGTCATTCATTCAGTAATTTTAGAATAGAGGGTTACATTCTTAGTACTTTTCTCAGATTAATGCAATGCTGAATGCATTTGGTGAATGGGTACTAATGGTGAAACTCACTCTAGGGCTGGTCCCGCGAGGGACTGTCATGGGCTCACTTTTGGGAAAGGTGCTGTGTTTACAGTTGAGCCTGGATGATCGAGTTGTTGCTGTGTGTGCTGGAAACAAGATATTCATGCTGGATATTGAGGTAAGATTGAACTTCACACCTGGATTTCACAGAAGGGTATAGCTGATGGGGCCACCTGGGTTCTGGGACCCTGCCCAACTCTCTTTTCTTTTTTTCTGTACTCCCTTTTTTTTAAAGCTATATCTTAAATTTAGTTTACTTTTATAAAATCATATCTCTACCTTGCAATTGGAAAACCACTGGTATCAGATAGTGATATTTATATAAATATTAAAACTCCCCATGGAATCTGGGTATCAGGCATGACTTAAGAAAATGCATTCTGCAAAACTTTTATTTCTCAGAAATTCCCTGATTATAGGCATCCTTCCTAGCATAGCACTTTTGCTTATATCTTTTATCAAAATTTTCTTTTTATCAAGAATCAGACTTTTTGCAGCCATCTCATCACCAGGATTAGTTTAAGGAAATGTGTCACCTCTCCCTGCCTGTGTGATTTGTACTTCGTGTGTGGCTGGAATAGTCAGCTGTCCCCTTTGCAATTTTAGAAAGCAGTGTTAGAAATCAGGAAATGGGAATCTAAGGGAACATGAAGGAGGACTTTGTTTCCTCTGAGTTCTTGCCCTTCAAGCCTGATTTCCATATGAACACAAAGCCCTGTGGGTCGCCAGCTTGTGACAGTGGCTTCCTGGGTGCTGTCTTGGCTGTAGGAGGTTTTAGGGACTTCAGGAGGAAAGGGTAACTCATGAGCATCCACTGCCACACCATCTTGTCTTGTTTTAGGAAGTCCCAGGTGGAGAACAGACGCTGAGGGGTTGGGAACACAGGGAAGTACATTTTGAGGTACAGGCAGGGAGCTTCAGGGTGGATGCATGGGGCAGATGGTGTGGAGATAGGAGTCCTGAGGAGATGCCACTTCCTAATTCGCTCAGGGTCAGCTCTGGTCAGTGCCGTCTGTTAACACTGCCAAGACTGTGCCTATGGCTGAAGCTTTCCTCTTGGCTAGACATCTGAGTCTTCACCCTTGTTTTATGTACAGAGTTCCAACTTGAAAAGAGGAATAATATGGGCCTTATTTTAATAGCAGCCATGTTCTGCGACATGCACAGAACATCCTGATGTTAATCACCCCCACAAAGTTCCATCCCCGACCTTCTGCACACATTCTCTCAGGCTCAGGCTGTCCTGGCCAAGCTGCAGGGCCACCTGGGCCCAGTGACCGCGGTGGAGTTCTGTCCCTGGCAAGCAGGCATCATCATCTCAGTATCCGAGGACAGAGGCTTTAAGGTGAGCGATGGACACTGGACCGCGTTCCCACGTGGCACGCGTTGTGGAAAGACCTGTGGTTACAGGGGGGCTGTGTGGCTGCTTCACGGCCAGTGCCGCCTGAGTGGTGGTGTTTCTGCCCCACTCTGCAAGGCGACCGCTGTCCTGATTTCCATGTAAACACCATGCCGTGATGCTTCATGGCCACTGCCACCTGAGTGGGAGTGTTTCTACCCCACTTCTGCAAGGTAAACACCGTCCCAGCTGCCATATAAACACCAAGCCCTGATGTTTGCAGGGCCGCTGGCTGGGCTTGGATAACTGACTGGATGGCCCCAGCTTTCCCACAGTGGAATCCAGGGCCTGAGAGAGCCCAAGCAGGAATTCTTCTCCACGGCATTTCCCAGGCCCAGAGCAGAAGAGCCAGTTCCAGGGTAGAGGGCTCAGTCAGAACAAAATGAGGATCTAGAAGAAAATGAAATGCAACTTCAGTTTTTATCCAGTTGATATGAGTGTGCACCTGGTGGCCGGAATGTGGGCCTGACACGCAAGTGTGCACCTGACAGTGTAGACCTGACACACGGGTGTGCACCTGACAGTATAGACCTGACACGCGGGTGTGCACTTGACAACTGACAGTGTAGACCTGACCCGTGGGTGTGCACTTGACATTGTAGATCTGACATGCAGGTGTGCACTTGACAGCTGATAGTGTAGACCTGACACTCGGGTGTGTACCTGACCATGTAGACCTGACCCGCGGGTGTGCACCTGACAGCTGACAGTGTAGACCTGACATGTGGATGTGTACCTGACAGTGTACACCTGACATGCAGGTGTGCACCTGACCATGTAGACCTGACCCATGGGTGTGCACCTGACAGTGTAGACCTGACCCGTGGGTGTGCACCTGACAGCTGACAGTGTAGACATGACACATGGATGTGCACCTGACAGTGTAGACCTGACATGCAGGTGTGCACCTAACCATGTAGACCTGACCTACAGGTGTGCACCTGACAGTGTAGACCTGACCCGTGGATGTGCACCTGACAGCTGACAGTGTAGACGTGACCTGTGGGTGTGTACTTGACAGCTGACAGTGTAGACATGACACATGGGTGTGCACCTGACAGTGTAGACCTGACCTGCGAGTGTGCACCTGACAGCTGACAGTGTAGACCTGACATGCAGGTGTGCACTTGACAGCTGACAGTGTAGACCTGACACTCGGGTGTGCACCTGGCCATGTAGACCTGACCCATGGGTGTGCACCTGACAGTGTACACCTGACATGTGGATGTGCACCTGACAGTGTAGACCTGACATGCAGGTGTGCACCTGACCATGTAGACCTGATCCATGGGTGTGCACCTGACAGTGTAGACCTGACCCGTGGGTGTGCACCTGACAGCTGACAGTGTAGACCTGACCTGTGGTTGTGCACCTGACAGCTGACAGTGTAGACATGACACATGGTTGTGCACCTGGCAGTGTAGACCTGACCCATGGGAGTGCACTTGACAGCTGACAGTGTAGACCTGACCCGCGGGTGTGCACCTGATAGCTGACAGTGTAGACATGACACATGGGTGTGCACCTGACAATGTAGACCTGACACGTGGATATGCACCTGACAGTGTAGACCTGACATGCAGGTGTGCACCTGACCATGTAGACCTGACCCACAGGTGTGCACCTGACACTGTAGACCTGACCCACGGGTGTGCACCTGACAGCTGACAGTGTGGACCTGACCTGCGGGTGTGTACTTGACAGCTGACAGTGTAGACATGACACATGGGTGTGCACCTGGCAGTGTCGACCTGACATGCAATTGTGTACCTGGAGGTCAGGGTGTGGGCCTGACACGTGAGTGTGCAGATGACAGGGTGTAGACTACTACAGTTTCTGCTTGGTGCCCCTATCTTGGCAGTGTTGACCAAGTGCCTGGGAGCTATTTCTAACCTTGTTTCATTTTTGTTTCCAAGTCTTCAAATCCATCAGGGGTTATTTATGGAAGTGATGTGATTTTTTTTCTTTTTGATTCTGATATCTTTTATTGTGTTTCTACATTTTTATGTTGTGCTCATTTTATTGCTTTCTGTTTTAGATAATCGTTTACTTTGACTAATCTAATATTGGGTAGTACTGTTCGCTTAACCTATTGCAATAATGGCAACATTCTTCTCTATGTTTATCCAAAGGTCTGGGACCATTGTACAGGATCGTTAATATACAGTTCATCTGTGTTATCAGGTAAATTTAAAACTCTCATGTTTCCTGTGAATAACCCAGTTATTCTACAGCATATTTCAGGGCATAAGATGAAGCTGTAACATTCAGGTGGATGTGAATGAGACGATCTCAGGCTTACAGCCCTTCACGACCCTCCGCACAAGGAAAGAATTCACTTAACAGTGAATGCCCTTGAAGTTTTTCAACTAAAATTAAACATGTTTAATTGGAGTCTGGGCCTTTCTGTTTTGGAAAAGAGTAAAGCATGTTTGCTGTCAGATAAAATGCCGGAGTACCTAGGGAAGGCGAGCCCTCTGCTCTCTGTAGAAGCAAGTCCCAGAACCAGCGGTGTTGGTGGTGCCAGGACTGCCCTGCTCATCTCGCGTGCGCGGGAGTGCGCCACATGGCGGCCTCTGGGCCAAGCACTGAGCATGCGTGCAGCTCGTGACCGCTAGGGTCGTTGCATTCTTAATCAGATGGCTTTTGTGTTGGTAAATGAGACTGGCACACGGTCACACCAATGCAGCACTGACGGTGCAGGCGTCGGTGGAGCGCGGCGGGAGGAGCGCCTGCGACGCCCCAGCACCTCTCCAGTGCAGCCCGGTGGTGTCCCCCGGGCGCCTCAGGGCACTGGTTTCCTGCATTCGCTTTGTTCCTCTTGTGCACATTCTGTCTTCCCAGAAGAAGAGGGGTAGGGAACTAAAAGGACAGCGTTCTTTCGTGGGGTAAGTGACATGAAAATGCCATGTGTGTACGTATGCAACAATCTTGCATGTTCTTTACATGTACCCCAAACCTAAAATGCAATTTAAAAAAAAGTGCTATGATAACATGCTAAGCTGTCTCATGGCATGTGGGCTCAACAGCACGTCCTGTTAAGGTGGACATTTTCAGTAGGAATATTGGCATCTCTTTTACTCTCTCAGTAAGCATCAATTTCTGTTAAAAAAAAAAGAAAAAGAAAATGCCACTTAAAGCATATACAGATACTAGTAGAGTTATTGTTATAGCCTCTCAGAGATTTAACATTCTTTCTGAGGTCAATGTATCCATGTGTAGATTATGGTACTCTAATGACTTGAATACATTGCCTTCTCTCAAGGTGAAGCACTTTTCTTGGAAATATGTTGGAATCTTTTTACTGAAATTAATGATATGGAGTTGCCAAGAACAATGATACACATGATCTTAGATTTCATTTATAGTTTAATTAGGACATGTAATATTTTTCAATATTCATTTATTTAATTTTCCTGAATTATTGACAGTTTGAATAAAATGACATCCTAGGCAAAAATCTTTTTTTCCAGGAAAACCAGATATCCATTTAATTGCTGTTTTCATTACTAAGTCCATAATTTTATTATATCTGGCTGACTCAGGAATCCTTCTGCTCCAAGTGCAATGTTGATTGAACACCAGTGCTTCCCTCCATCTAGGTTATAAAGCAGCTGAGGACTGGGTGGTGGTTTAATCACACCAGGCCTTCTGTTGGGCAGGTGGGATGGGAATCCTCAGGACCAATATGTGGCGGACTCCCCGGGCATCCTTTTGGGTGACTTCCTCAGCCTTCCTTGTGTGCATGAGGTTTTCAACATTTGTATTCACATACAATTTTTACCTTTTTTTTGGAAGAAATTATTTTGGAATAGTTCAAACTTGACTAACAGAAATACTGTAAGTAAATATGTGTAAAGAGATAAGTAAAACTGATAGTTCTTGGCTTAATTGGTACCAGGCGCTTATAAAGCTAAATTTTCTGATGTTCCTTTCACCAGCATATCCTCTACTCAGCATATTCATTGATGCAGAAAGCAGGCAGCTGGTCACTAGGTGTGCTGATGGCCAGGTGAGACAGCCACGTAGTTAAGTTTCAGTTCTCAGACATTCCTGTATGTGAGCATGCACACGAAGGTCTTTGTCTTCATGCTGCTTTGTATTTTCCCGTGATTGGAAAAAAACTCATCCACCTTAGTGCTGAGAATGTGACCTTCTGTGGGTATCAGCATCACTGTGGGTTCAGTATGGTCCCAGGCTCCCTGGTCTGCAGAGGAGCTGGGTCTACATGTCCCAGAGCTCCATGCATGTTTCTGGAGTACAGCAAAAGTGAGGGCCACTGACATGACCTTTAAAACCAGATGAGAAGAGGGCTGTGAGCAGACATCCCACACACGCTGCCTGTGGCCATGGAGACGCTCCCTGGACTTCTCCTCTGGTGGCTTCCCCAGGGCTCCTTGTGCTCCTGTTTCATGTCAGCTTACACACTGTTGAAAACCTGAATATATTGATCTTTTACAAAACATTTTTTAGGTGAGCATTTTAGGTTCATTTCACAAAGCCTGGATAAAGTTGCTGTTGATATAATTTGAAAAAGATATTTTTGAAAACTTAGATTTTTTTTTTTCTTCTGACAAAGTTGACCGCTCCTGACTTTGTCTTTTCAGCCAGGGCATGTGGGACATACTCTTGGCTGTGAAGCTGTGGGGTGTGTGCAGAGAGCCTGGGGTCTGAGGGTCCCGGAGGTTATGTGAGGTGTTTGCAGAGAGCCTGGGGTCTGGGGATCCCGGAGGTGATATGAGGTGTTTGCAGAGAGCCTGGGGTCTGGGGGTCCCGGAGGTGATGTGAGGTGTTTGCAGAGAGCCTGGGGTCTGGGGGTCCCAGAGGTGCTGTGGGTTATGTGCAGAGAGCCTAGGGTCTGGGGGTCCCGGAGGTGCTGTGGGGTGTGTGCAGAGAACCTGGGGCTGGGGCCCCGGATGAGCACGTGGGGAGGCCTGCACAATGGGACCCTGCCTGAGTGCTCTGAGCTGATGTGCTGGCAGTGCGAAAGTGCTCTGACACTGCAGGTGTAGGCTGTAAGGAGGGCTTCCAGGGTGGAGGTTGAAGGCAGGAGAGAGCTGTGCAGGGAGCCTCTGTGGGGCGTGAAGGGCTTGTCCTGTGACTCATCTTCCCTCGTGTTCCTACTCTGGTATTCTGCTTTTGTGGAGGGACCTCTGCTCTAGTGCCATGTCTGCGTGTTCTTTGTTTTTGTAGCTTTGGATCTTCAGTTTGATGGATGGACACCACTATCGTCGTGTGGCACAGGTTGACCTAAGGAAGAAGACAGAGACTTTCTTCACAAGAAGGGTTAAGTCTGGGCTGTACAGCCAGCCAGGTGGGTTGCTCAGCCCCTCCCTCAGGCCTCCCACTTGGCCTGGATCTTTCACCAGGCGCCGCGTTGAGGGCCCTAGGTCCGACCAAGGCGGGAGAGAGGTCCCAGTATAGGAGAAGCCTAGGGCTGCAATCTCAGAAATCCACTGAGGCCCTGCAGGTCATGTGAGGGGTGGGTGGTCAGCAGATAGAGGCACCTGGTGTGTGTGGGGACAGGGCTGAGGGGCTTTGGTGAACAGAAGAGCACAGGCCCCAATACAGCAGCTTCGCAGCAACTTGGGCTGTTGTCTTGCAGTGGGTGACCAGGGAGGGCATGTCATACTGATCAGAAAGGTGCACTGCATGACTCAGATGCCACCTGCACCTGCCTAGCAACCTCCACATCCTCACCTGGTCTCCTGTGCCTCTCAGACACCACCGATACCCGCCCAGCACCCCCACGTCCTCACCTGGCCTCCTCTGCATCTCAGACACCACCTACACCCACCCAGCACCCTCACATCCTCACCTGGCCTCCTCTGCATCTCAGACACCACCTACACCCGCCCAGCACCCCCACGTCCTCACCTGGTCCCCTGCATCTCGGATGCCACCTACACGCACCCAGTACCTTCATGTCCTCACCTGGTCTCCTGTGCCTCTCAGACACCACTTACACCCAGCCAGCACCCCCACTTCCTCACCTGGCCTCCTCTGCATCTCAGACGCCACCTACACCCATGCAGCACCCCCACGTCCTCACCTGTCGTCCTCTGCATCTCAGATGCCACCTGCACCCACCCAGCACCTTCATGTCCTCACCTGGTCTCCTGTGCCTCTCAGACACCACCTGCACCCACCCAGCACCCCCACATCCTCACCTGGTCTCCTCTGCATCTCAGACACCACCTGCACCCGCCTCCCACTCCCACGTTCTCACCTGACCTCCTGCCGTCCAGAGTTGCTTCCTGTTGACCACAGCTCACCTCATGTGTGCTCTTTATCTCCTGTACTGTCACAAAGGACCTGACCCTCTCCTGGAGGAAAACACTGATTTTACTTTTCAATCCAGGGGCCACTTCTTTCATTGGTAACGTGCAGCTGACATTTCGTATTACAGCAATCACCTCTGTGTTTACAGCGTACGTGCTCTTCCTCACTCTTGTTACTCATTCTTTCTTTTAGCTTTTGTTATTTGTAAATGACTTTAAACTATTTCTTTTCATATTAGGTCTGAAATTACCTTTATCAACCATAACAGTTTTTTCCCTAATGCTTTAAGCTTGGTTTTTGTTATTTTTTTGATAAATAATTATTTACTACTGAAGCAAATCTTTAACTTACTTTTAGGAAACATGAAGTTAAATTCTTTCCATTGATCATCTCATCTTTCCCACTCTCTTGCTCTGGTTCTGCACTTAAAGTTCCATCGCTCCCAGGCAGTGCTATGCTGGGTGTTACCGTAGTGCTTTCCTCACCGTGTGATTCAAGTGACTCCATAGTGCCTCTGAGTGACTCCCCGGTCCACACGTGTCATGCTGGGTGCTACCTTAGAGCTTTCCTCGATGTGTGATCCAAGTGACTCTGCGGTGCACACACGTCATGCTGGGTGCTACCTTAGAGTTTTCCTCACCGCATGATCCAAGTGACTCTGCGGTGCACACACGTCATGCTGGGTGCTACCTTAGAGTTTTCCTCACCGCATGATCCAAGTGACTGCGGTGCACACCCGTCATGCTGGGTGCTACCTTAGTGCTTTCCTCGATGCATGATCCAAGTGACTCCACGGTGCACACATGTCTTGCTTGGTGCTACCTTAGAGCTTTCCTCAATGCGTGATCCAGGTGACTCCGTGATGCACACGCGTCATGCTGGGTGCTACCTTAGAGTTTTCCTCGCCGCGTGATCCAAGTGACTCCGCGGTGCACATGAGTCATGCTGGGTGCTACCTTAGAGCTTTCCTCGCCGCATGATCCAAGTGACTCCGTGGTGCACACGTGTTGTGCTGGGTGCTACCTTAGCGTTTTCCTCGCTGCGTGATCCAAGTGACTCCACGGTGCACGTGCGTCATGCTGTGTGCTACCTTAGAACCTTCCTCGATATGTGATCCAAGTGATTCTGTGGTGCACACATGTCGTGCTGGGTGCTACCTTAGAGTTTTTTCGATGCGTGATCCAAGTGACTCCGCGGTGCACATGCGTCATGCTGGGTGCTACCTTAGAGCTTTCCTCGACGCGTGATCCGAGCAACTCTGCAGTGCAAACATGCGTCATGCTGGGTGTTACATTTTCCTCGATGTGTGATCCAAGTGACTGCGCGGTGCACACGCGTCATGCTGGGTGCTACCTTAGAGCTTTCCTCGACGTGTAATCCAAGTGACTCCGCGGTGCACATGCGTCATGCTGGGTGCTACCTTAGGGCTTTCCTTGATGGGTGATCCAAGTGACTCTGCACATGTAGTGCTGGGTTCTACCTTAGAGTTTTCCTTGCCGCATGATCCAAGTGACTCTGCAGTGCACACGTGTCATGCTGGATGCTACCTTAGAGTTTTCCTTGATGCATGATTCAAGTGACTCCGTGGTGCACACGCGTCGTGCTGGGTGCTACCTTAGAGTTTTCCTCGATGTGTGATCCAAGTGACTCCATGGTGCATATGCGTCATGCTGTGTGCTACCTTAGAGCTTTCCTCGATGCATGATCCAAGTGACTCCGCGGTGCACACGCGTCATGCTGGGTGCCACCTTAGAGTTTTCCTCGATGCATGATTCAAGTGACTCCGCGGTGCACATGCGTCATGCTGGGTGCCACCTTAGAGTTTTCCTCGATGCGTGATCCAAGTGACTCCGCGGTGCACACGCGTCATGCTGGGTGCTACCTTAGGGCTTTACTTGATGCGTGATACAAGTGACTCTGCGGTGCGCACACATCATGCTGGGTGTTACCTTAGGGTTTTCCTCGACACGTGATCCAAGTGACTCTGCAGTGCACACACGCATCATGCTGGGTGCTACCTTAGAGCTTTCCTTGCCGCATGATCCAAGTGACTTCGTGGTGCACACGTGTTGTGCTGGGTGCTACCTTAGAGCTTTCCTCGATGCATGATCCAAGTGACTCTGCGGTGCACACATGTCATGCTGGGTGCTACCTTAGAGTTTTCCTCACCGCATGATCCAAGTGACTCTGCAGTGCACACATGCATCATGCTGGGTGCTACCTTAGAGCTTTCCTTGATGCATGATCCAAGTGACTGCGGTGCACGCGTGTCATGCTGGGTGCTACCTTAGAGCTTTTCTCGACATGTGATCGGAGCGACTCCATGGTGCACACGCTTCATGTTGGGTGCTACCTTAGAGCTTTCCTTGCCGCATGATCTGAGTGACTCTGCAGTGCACATTCACCTCAGCATCTCCGTAGGGCAGTCCTTGGCCTTTAAACCTAATGGATGTGTTTAAGTTCACTTCTCAGATTGTCAATAATTCTGTTTCCTAGAAGAAAGCCGGCTTTCCTCTACAAGTGCCCTGGTAAAAGGAGAGCAGGTGGGAGTGACGTTTCCTATACTGAGACTTGCACCCTGTGATCTCTCACGTGTCCCACATTCTGCATGTGGATGGTAAGCATCAAAAGCCTGGCCTATGCTGTGTAAAGAAAATAGAAACCACAGAGGTCAGAGCGAGCATCTTCACAGATGTTAGACAGTGCCCAGGGGACCTTAAATTTCTTAGATGAACGTTAGGTTTATTTTCTAAGAATGATTGAAATGAAACCAAATTATTTTTGTCCCTTATTATTACTGACTTCATTCTTGGGATTGCATGCTTTAAATCTTAAAGTTGGTAAATTGGGCAATGATGTGTAAGTATCTTTAATAAAAGGAATTTGATGATTTTTAAGTTTGTTACCAAAGTCTAGGCAGATCTTTGCCTCTGTGATATGACTTTTTCTTTAGAAAGAGGAAATGGTGATGGTAATGGCCTCAGCTTTCCCGTTTCCCACTTGCACTGTACGTTACACGTTTAAAGTTAACACCAGATGAATTGTATTGATTTCTGGCCTCAGAAATATTATACATATTTGGCAACATAAAGAAGTACTGTTTAACTGTTATTAAAGAACATGCTACAATTATGTTCACCTCTCCTCCCGAAAATGCTTAGAAAGCGCTGGAAATTAGGGGGCAGCATTGCTTTGAATGGCCTTGGCCATTGCTCCACCGTGTCTCTGTGCAGAGCATCCCTGGAGCAGAATAGTCCCTGCTTGGTCCAAACCATGGAGGAGAATAAGGGTGGGCATGGAGGCTGGATGCTGTGCTCCCAGAGGATGCGTAGACCCAAGGCTCTTCGAGGCCCCCATCTTACCTAGAGCAGAGGGGGCCCTTAGAGCAAAGCAGGAGCCACATGACACCTTCTGTTGACACTGGTGGGGGAAGCATGGACTGGTGCTAACACCTGGTTGTTAGCAGGTGCCCAGGAGACCCAGCACAGGCTGAATGGGAGCCCAGCACAGATGTGGTTCTCACTGGCAGGAACCCACCCCGGCTTGTGCTCCCCACTTCCGCAAAGAGCTCACAGCCAGGCCAAGGGGCGTGTGTGGGACCAAACCTTCAGGAGTAAGATTAGTGTGTGTTCTTTTCTTTTTGTTCGTAAATCAGTCTTTCCTCTGAGAACACCCAGTGCTTGTGGATTGGAAGCTCAGTGGGCTTATTCGTGTTTAACCTGGCAAACCTGGAAGTGGAAGCTGCTTTATGTTACAAGGGTAAGATCTTTGGTGTACTGCTGCGTAACTGTGATGTTTTCCTTTGACTGGTATGTGGGGCAGTGAAAGTGTTTGTGGAGAAGGCCTCACCACGTGATCTGAGTGACTCCGTGGTACACATGCATCACAGGATGAGATGCTTCAGTCACAACTCAGCATTGAGAACGCAAGGACCTCTGTGCTGCCAGATCCGAAGGATGAGGACCTTTCCCAGACCCTCAGGCACTCAGCCCTGGAGCCACCTCTTGCCTCCATCCGCCAGGCCCTCGCCAGACACTCCAGGCCACCTGGGGTGTGCAACACCCCAACACCCATGGGAACACCCCTGGGAAGCCCCTGGCTTCTCCAGTATCCCTTGAGAGCCTCCCAGAGCCCCAGGCTTGCGCAGCGTAAACCCGGCTGAGGCGCTGTCCTCTCCAACCCTGGTTCCCTTCCCCAGTTTCTGCCACCCCCAGGAATGTAGGAATAGTAACCTCTACCTACCTCCTGCCCCTAAAGTCTCCATCTCATCCCCCGACCCCAGAGGTTCCACCCTCCTCTCCTAGCTCCCTGGCTGCCACCAGCCACATACTTTCTGCCCAGGAACCCAGGTCACTTTGAAAAGCAGGCTGGATTCCAACCCTCTCCTCCATTGCAGGGGGTCGTCCGCGGCCGCCTCCTAGGCACTGGCTTCTCTTGGTGCCTCCTTTCCAGCCCTGAATGCACAGGCCTCTGTGGGGCTGCTGGATCCATCTGCATCTTCACACTCCCCCTTCCCTTCAGGCGCCCATCCTTGCCCCTCCTCAGCTCAGCCAGCCATGGCTTCTCCTTGCAAACTCAGCCTTTCTTCCCCAAAACGGTCACAACTCTTAATAACACATTTCCTTTCTGAGCTGCTGCTGGATGTGTGGCTTCTCCAGGAGGCTGAGCTGCAGGTCTCAGTCCGAGTCACATCCCAGCCTTAGAGCAGGGCCTGGCGTTTGTGTGGCGGGGCCTGGAGTGTGTGTGGTATGTGGCCTGGTATGTTTGCAGCATGGGGCCTTGCATATGTGTGGGTATGTGGTTCACAGGCTGCAGTGTGTGTGGCTGGGCCTGGCGTGTGTGTGATGGGTCCTGGCCTGTGTGTGGTGGGGCCTGGAGTGTGTGAGGCTCAGGGCTTGGTGTGTGTGTGTGGTGTTTGGCCTGGTGTGTGTGGGTATGTGGTGCGCAGCCTGCAATGTGTGTGATGGGGCCTGGAGCATGTGTGGCGGGGCCTGGGCAGTGACTCCGTGTATATGTGCTCCCTTCCTCCCCCTCATGTTTCTCCTGGTCTTGCTGAACTGAAGATTTCCACAGCCTCAGCATCCTGTTGGCTGGATCATGTGCCCTGAGGAGCCGCTTCACAGATGGCAAGGTCGGTCCTGAGACATGGCCCCTCCGATTTCTCCTTTCTACAGAGTGATGTAGTAACTACTGGCTGAGGAAATGGGATTTTGTGTGAGAAAACGTTTTTGGAGTGACAGGGTGGTGACCCTGCTGTGAGAATGAAGCCAGTGTTAGACGCATGTTCAGATACTCCTTGAATCTCCTTTCCCAGATAGTGTCACTAACCACGTGGAAACTGTGTCACTGCAGGCGCTGTGCTTGCTGGCCTCCCTGTTTGGAGGGAAGATCGCCGTGTTGGAGGTGGACCCAGCCGCGCTGGTCATGGCTCAGCAGTGCTCCAGGGTGGGACAGGGCCTCTCAGTGCCAGCCAGGTAGAGTGCCTTCAGGTGTGGAGTGTGTGTGCACGTTCACCTGTATTTCTTTGTGTGTTGAGAAATAAAGTTTAGGAAACTCTGAGCTCTACCAGCGCTGGTTGGAAGAAACAGTTTTTCATGCTGTTGCTTCTATCTTGTTGAAAACTAAATAGTTAATAGTTTACTTTAATGTGAACCACTATTTTATTTCAGGATAGAATGTACATTATAAAACAGCACCTTTATTAAGAATATATTAATTTTTTCCCAACAAGGATAAGAATATGCTTGAGGGTTTTCATTTTCAAATACTGCTCTGTCCATAGCTGCATTTATTAGTCATTTGTAACCGTCCTTAAAGTGAGTGTGTCATTGAAATATGTCCATCATATCATTCTTTGCACTCCTAGTTTTATGTGGTTTGTTTCTGTTTCAGCTCCTGTGTCCTTCCTACCTCTCCACTGTATCTGGGAATTGCCAAGGTGAAAAGCACCAAGGCTGCTAGTGAACAGCGATGTGGTGAGTTTAGTGAGCTATGAAATCTAAGAACGCAGGCTGATGCCTTCTTGTTGTGGCTAGGGCTGCTACATGGCTTTGAGAATTCCTATCTGTTAAAATACGCATTCTGCACTTCCTTCCAGCCTTCCCTCCTTTGTATCTCTGCCTCTCATGTGTTTGTTACGTGCCTGCTATGGTGGGAACATGCTGGGTGCTTCCCCTCCTGAACTGGGCATCCCTTGTAGCAATTCAGCACCGTGCCCAAGATTGAAGGCTGGTGCCTGGTGCAGTGGGGGTGCAGAGTGCACCCTCAGCAGTGATTGATGGTGAGAACATCTTTTTCCCTTTTTCCTCTGCTGAGGAGTTGGAAAGCGAATCCTGAGTGTTTGTACACCTGCACACTTCAGTGCACCTTTCTGGAACCTGTACATTTTTACCACCATGACATTATGTCAAAACCAGTAACTTTCTGGAATCTTGCATTAGCAAGGCCATAATAAATTATCCCTGATTGCCTCAACAATATTTTTTATTGGTTTGTTCTAAGCAGCAGCCAAATAAATCCACGTTGCATCTTTCAAATATATAAAAATTAACTTTCACTTTAAGATGGTAAACTTTGTTATGTTCCATTTCTTTCAAGGCTTACTGATAATTACGTCTTTTTTTCCTTCATTGACCAGCCTAACCCTTTAATTGGTCTTGGTAAACCTCCTACTGGACCTACTTCGAAAGCCTGAGGCTTCCCTGTACCCTTCTTTCACCTTCTCCCTTGTAGCTGCCTGACCGCTGGCCCTCACCTCCCGGAAGGGCCGTCTTCCCCACCAGTGAACTGGCGACCCTGCCCTCAGGCCTCTTCCCGGGCTGGGCTGGGCTGGGGTTCCCTCGTCAGGCATGTCTGGAACTCCCGTGGAGCCCACCCTCTGACATGGGCCATGTCCTTCATGCTCCCTTGAAGCCCTTGAGCTTGACTTCTGGGACTTCTGTCCTAACCTCTCTGCCCCCTCTTCCTACGAGACTTTTTGAAATCATGCCTTGAGCACCTGTGCCTTTCCTGGGTCTCACAGACTGTGTGGTTCCCGCCTGCCTTGCAGACTGGGGAGGGACGTTTTCAGGCGCTAGGCCGGGACTCAGAGCTGAGCTTGGGCCTGGAGCTGTTTCCTTGTTCTGCCCTACATGAGGGTCCCTGCTGCTGCGGGGTTTCCGACAGGTCCCCCATTCCTAGGCCCTCTTTCCATGAAAGACCCACCTTCGGGGTTAAGTGCCCATCTCCTGCTGGTTTATGCTCTGCTACCATCCCATCACCATGGGGACAGTTCTGAGAAACTGTGAGAATGAAGGCCTGGGGAAGGCGGCCAGGCTCAGCCAGCATGGCAGCCTCCAGGCCAAGCTGATTCCTCGCTGGGAGTGGCCTCTGACCTTATGAAGTCATGGCACTTCTGCTATGTAAGGAGGCGCTAATTACTCATCATTGAGAAGGCATCTTAAATTGTGAAAGACACGAACAGCAGAGAAGACAACAGCAGGTGGGTTGGAAGATGGCTGAGAAGAGAATGCCCGTGGGCTGCTGTGGGCCTAACCCTCCCCAAGCTGCTGCTTCCTCCTGGGCCTCCCGGCCTCCTCCTCTTCCTGGGCCCTCTTGGCCTCTTCCTCCTCCTGGGCCCTCCTGCCCTCCTTCTTGCCCTCCTGGGTCCTCCAGGCCTCCTTGACTGGTCCTCCCAGCCTCTTTGTTCTCCTTAGCCCCCCGAACCTCCTCATCTTCCTGGATACCCCAAGCTTCCTCATGTGCTTTTCCCCCACCCCTCCTGGTCTCTCTTAGCCTTGTCAATCTCACCTCCTACCATTCATCCGTAGCAACTGACAGCAGCAGGAGTTAGAGAAATCCCCAGGTAGCCGCAGGCAGGTCCCCGATGAAACCTGACCTCCAAACCAAAGACAGTTTAAAGCCTGAAAGCCAAACTGTAGGTGTCGGATAAATCCACAGATCAGATTGAGAACCTGTTTTCCTGTCTGGCACGCTTTCCTCTGATTGGTCGCTACCCTTCACCTATTTTACATAAACCTACCCTTCTGTAATTGGTTTTTACACTGCTGTGCCCATCTCTGAGTTGTGCCTTTTTTGCATAGTCATAAACCAATCAACATGCACTGCCCCATTCTGAGCCCATAAAAGCCCTGAACTCAGCCACACAGCAGTGGTTGTGGGGGGACTACCTGACTGAGGGTAGGGGGCTGCCCTCTCTGGGTCCCCTCTCCGCTAAGAGCTGTCACTCAATAAAACTCTCTGCCTGGGCGCAGTGGCTCACGCCTGTAATCCCAACTACTTGGAAGACTTAGGCAGAAGAATCGCTTGATCCCTGGAGGCGAAGGTTGCAGTGAGCTGAGATTGCACCACTGCACTCCACCCTAAGCGACAGAGCAAGACTCTATCTCAAAAACAAACAAAAAAACTCTCCACCCTTCTCACTCTTCAGTGGTCAGGATAACCTATTCTTGGATGCGGGACAAGAACTCAGGACTCACTGAATGTGGGTATGAAAAATGCTGTAATGCTGTAGCCTTCCACCCTCCACCAGCGCTGGGCAGTCACCCCCACACAGGAACAGCAGTGGGGCCAGGCCCGCCCCAGAGCCACAGGCCAGGGCAGGGCAGCAGGACCGAATGGGCCGTAACACAAATGGGGGCCAAGTGGGCAGGTAGTTCCTGTGCCTAGTGAGGGCCCAGGGAGGCCTGGGCAGGGGCACTGCCAGCCTCGGGGGCTTCCAGCTGGCAAAGAGACACTGAAAAAATCCTTCATCACAATGTCTCTTCTAACATGTCTGGTCTGGGGCTGGAGCTGTTCATGCATAGAGTAATATTCTTTCTTACGTGCGTTCTTTTGTGGTGTGCTGTTTTCACTTTGTGTCTGTGAGATTTGTTTCAGTTGCTGTGTAGCATTCTGTTGTCTGGATATTCTGCCGTTTATGTACCCACAGTTTATTCAGTGTTAACAGATGTTCAGCTTGTCCCAGGCCGCTGCTGTTGTGAGCAGCCTTTGCAGCACCTGCTGTATCCTGGAGCCGGGAGGGCTGCCCTGAGGTCTGCAGGGGCAGCTGCTGGGCTTGGGTAAGGTTCCCCATGTGGCAGACAATGGTGAAGATATTCCCAGGTAGCTGGCCAACTGCTACTCTAGCGGCACACACCTCCCCACCTGCCCTGAGCCCTGGCCAAGGCCGGATGTTGCTGGGCGCTGGAATTTCTGCTCACCCAGTGTGAGACAGGATTAGCACTGGGTGGTCGCAGGAAAATGGAAAACCCAAGCAACAGTGAACACAGGAAGGTGGCAAAGTAACCACAGGGCAGCAGAAAACCCAAAGCAAGGGAGAGAAAAGGCCAACCCATCACTGTGAGGCCTCCTCAGTTCTGGGAAAACCCAAATAAGAGAGGGGGCTGTAGTAGGGGGTTACCTGAAATCCCCTCCATTCCCAGGATACCTGATGATGATCCCACCCTCTCATTAAAGAAACACCCACAAAATGGGGTGCTCAAAGTCCTCTAAGCATGCTTCCCTCTCCTGAGCTCACCTGGCTTCTCACTTAGGTGTGTGCTTTCACTTTGTAGCAAAACCTGCTGCTTTTCACATCTAATTTCTTGCTCTGAAGGTGCCAAGAACCTGGAAACCAGCTGGGGGTGGGGTCTCACCAGCATCTGGAGACCCTTCTGAGCCATGTGGCAACCAGTGGAGATACAAAGCTGTCTTATGATTTCGTTTGCCTTTTCCTGAGGTGATTGTTGCTTGTGTTTAATCAGCCACACGTTGCTGTCATAAACCTAATTTGCATTTATTATCTCTTTGCTATTATTTTGTACAGGACATTTTGGATTCATGTTCTTGAGTGATTGATTTCTCAGGAACTTGCTGGGTTTGGTTTTGGTGTGCCAGCTCCACAGAATGACCTAGCAAGAGCTTTCTCTGTTTCTATACCTGAATGATTTGTGTACAGCTTTGAATTAGGTGTATCATTGATTTTGAGTATAAAACCAGCCTTGTATGTCAGGGATAAATCCCATGATGTATAATCTTTCTGCTGTGTTGTAGAATTCAGTCTGCTAACGTTTTATTGAGGATTTTTGTATCAATTTTCATCAGAGAAATGGATGCTTAGTTTTTTTGTTCTGTTTTGTTTGTTTTCATATATTTTTTGGAACTGAATGAAGTGCAGTGCGTTCCATTAGAGGAGATTTGTGTTGCTTTCAGGGGTTTGGGTGCACAAGTCTATAGCTTCTGGCCTTTTAAGCCACTTGCCACGGTCCCTCTGACTACAGGACCACAAGCCTGGGACCAGCACACACCATCACGGCACAGGCTTCCTGGGCCAGTCTGAGATCGTGCAGTGGCCGGCGGGCTTGGCCTTTCTGCCCGCACCTCCCTGAGGCCACACAAATCCTAGGTCCCTGCGGCTGGAGTTACAGCGTCCACAGCTCACCTCAGTTTCGATATCTTGTCCTCATTTTCTTTCTTCTGCGTTTAACAAGATAAAGCATATATTTCATCTGGCATTTGTGGCTTTTCTCTGTGGGAGAGGCTGTCTGAATACCTAACCAGCATGTTACACAGATAATGAAAGTCAGCATTCGCCTTTTAAATAGCAGCACTCAAAAAATTGAAAAAGTCCTAGGTAGTAATTATGCTAGTGAAGAACTGAAACTGTTTATTAGGTAAATAATATGGTCTTATTGCATTATATATGTAGTAGTCTGTTTTTCGTGTCTTTTAAAAGAAATTTTCTGTTCATTTCTTTTTTTAAATTATAAGATATATATAAAATAAAACTTACCATTTTAACCATTTTGGGTGTATGGTTCAGTGGCATTCTGTACCTTCACATTGTTGTGCAACGTAAAAAAGCCTTTTTGAACCATTCGCTTAATTAATACCAAAGGAATTTTATGTATATACATACATTTCTAGTGAAAAATTTTCGGAAAAACTTGACTAACCAATATTAATTAAAATAGCTAATCATTGCAGTAATACTAGACTGTTCAGATGGTTTTCCAAAGTTCTTTTTTTTTTCCCATTTATTTATTTTATTGCAGTTTAGGTTTTAGGGTACATATAAAGAACATGCAAGATTGTTGCATAGGTACACACGTGGCAGTGTGATTTGCTGCCTTCCTCCCCATCACTTACATCTGGCATCTCTCCCCTTGCTATCTCTCCCCAGCTCCCAACCCCCCACCGTCCTTCCCCTATTTCCCCCCAACTGACCCCAGTGTATAGTGCTCCCCTCCCTGTGTCGATGTGTTCTCATTGTTCAACACCGGCCTATGAGTGAGAACATGCGGTGTTTGATCTTCTGCTCTTCTGTCAGTTTGCTGAGAATGATGGTTTGAAGCTCCCCCTTGTTCGTAGACTACGCTGAGTGGCGAGCAGGGCCTCCTGCGTTTCCAGCACACAGAGACCCATGTCTTGTCTGCCTGCCTCCGTGGACGGCTGCGCGTTTGGGGAGTGAGATCTTGCCGCACAATCTGTCCTGAAGGAGACACAAGTCTCATGATTTTCTCTTTCAAAACTTACCCTATTTGTTTCCTTAGCTTTTCTTTTTACATATGCTTCATTGATTTAGATCATGCCTTAGAAGTGGAATTTTTAGACTTTTTGTCAATATGGATCATCTTGTTTCAGATGAGTATATGTGATGTACTGTTGTTTGCAACCAGTGATAGTATTTAGAGTTTAGAACAAAACCTTTAATAAGAACAATCATATAAATAGTTTTAATATGGAGATAGCTTTTACAAAGTGATGAAATTTTAACATGTTGATGTTTTGTGTGTAGTTTAGAAAATATTCCCATGGAAAATTAATGGATATGTTTCATTTACAGTAATGCTATAATCCCAAAATTTGCTGCCTTCTGCTTATAAAACTATAAAGGAGATAATATAAAAAAGAATGTATGTGATGGACGAGGAACTATTATATGTTAATGCTTAGAGCATTTGTGAAAGTAACATGCAGTTATATGTTTATAAACCTTATTCTAGGACTTTTTAGACTTTCTCATAATGAAGTATACTACTAATGTGTCCATAACGTTATTATTTTATCCTGAAATTGTTTTCCTTTTGGTGATACTTTATCATTTTTTGGAGAAGGCTTTTTCTCCTTTCCTGACTGTGTAGATTGGACAGGGCAGTTTCCTGGCTTCTCCTCCATCCTCTGAGGGTCCCTCTGGGTCCCAGCTGTGTGTGGCATCTATCTTCCTTTCCCATAGAAACCTCTCCCTTTCCAGGTTCGGCTTCGCCCTGTGCAACCCTGTGAGGCCAGCAGTACCCAGGCCTAGGCCCAGGCCCAGGGTAGAGGCCTGACTCAACAGGTTCCTGGTCACCTCCTGGACTTTGATTTGCACAGTGAGACGTCCACAACCTTAAGTTAATGCTCTATTAGGGCCACTTGATTCTTTTTTTTGAGATGGAGTCTTGCAGTGACACCTGGGCTGGAGCGCAGTGGTATGATCTCGGCTCACTGCAACCTCCACCTCCTTGGGAGGCTGAAGCAGGGTTCAGCGATTCTCTTGCTTCAGCCTCCAAAGTAGCTGGGATTACAGGCACCCACTACTATGCTCAGCTAATTTTTGTATTTTTAGTAGAGATGATATTTCACTATGTTGGCCAGGATGGTCTGAATTTCCTGATCTCGTGAGGTGCCCGCCTTGGCCTCCCAAAGTGCTGGGATTCTAGGCGTGAGCCCCCATGCCCAGCCAGTCCACTTGATTCTTAATGGGAATATAATTTAGGTTATCCAATATGAAATAGTAGCAGAAACAGAACTGAATTTGTTTACAAAAAGGAACTATTTTTAGAATTATTCAGTATTATGCAAATATTCATTTTTTCTAAAGCTATTTTATAATATTATACAGACTATTCATATTGAACACCAATTATTAAGTTTATGCGAAAATAAATAGTTCTCGCAAAACTATATTTCATCTGAAAACATTTTTTTTTGATTTGTAAATATTTATGGTAAGGTCACGTGATGTCAGAGTGTTTGTCAACTGGTAGTCGTATGCAAAATGTAAAATAGGCTGGGCCAGGCGCAGTGGCTCATGCCTGGAATCCCAGAACTTTGGGAGGCCGAGGTGGGTGGATCATGAGGTCAAGAGTTCGAGGCCATCTTGACCAACATGGTGAAACCCCCTCTCTACTAAAAATACAAAAATTAACCAGTCGTGGTGGTGTGTGCTGTGCCTGTAATCCCAGTTATTCAGGAGGCAGAGGCAGGAGAACCACTTGAAACTGGGAGGCAGAGGTTGCAGTGAGCCTAGATTGCACCACTGCACTCCAGCCTGGGCGACAGAATGAGACTCTGTCTTAAAAACAAACAAAAACCAACTTGGGTTATTTTCTTATCCTTTTAACCCCTTTATTTAATCTTTTGCTGGTGATGGTTGATGTGACTTCAGATATGAAACCTCTTAAATTTATAGTCAGAAATTCATTCTGTTGGTGCGAATGTTTCTTTTTTGAAGAGACTCTGTTCTTCTTCTGTCCATAATGAGATGTTAATTTTCGGTGTTTGTTTCTTCTTTAAAATTGCCTTTCTACAGCTAAACGGAACGTCATGAAGGACCAATTCCTGGTTTTACGCAGTAAAATTAAGTCATCTGGTTATGCCTCGGCACCACAGTGAGTGAACTCGTCTCAGAATCGGGAATGCACCTGCGTCATAGATGCAGGACTTTAACACCAGTAGGGACACAGATATATCCCTGAGGGTCACATTATGGACATAGCAATATAAACAGGAGTTAAAATGTGGTGGGTTGGACCACAGCATGCCAGTCAGCAGCAGCTGCAGCGGCAAATGTTTCCTGAGCACTCACTGTCCGCTGGGCCACGGAGCAGCCCTCCGAGTCCTTGTCCGATAACACGGTGGTCCCGTGAAGTGAGGGCAAGCTGGTGGGGTGTGGAGCTGGGAGAGCATGATGATTCTCTAAACAGTAGTGGCCCCTCAAGGCGCCGGACACAGTGCTCTTCTTAGAATACAGCTTTGCTGTAACATCAGAGCAGATCACAGAGTATATTTAAGCCCTGAGTTAGCAAGGCTGCTCAGAGACAAGGAGAGACGAAGTGGCAGGATACTCTGAGAAACCACGGGGAGGCCTTGAGATTCCCCAAATCTTCACAAGCCTATTCCTCAAAGGGAAAGCTGACTTTCCTGAAGAAAATGCAGACATATCCCCTCCTCCTAGCTCATCTCTTGACCTTTGTTGTCTCTTAACACAGTGGCCAAAATGGCCCTGTGACCTGGAGTCCCTGTCCTCAGAGTACACGCTAGTCTCCCTGGTTGGTGCTCACCTCTACCAAGCTCCCCCTTCATGTGCCCCTGGCCACTGCCCCACCCCACCCCTCCCGCTGGCTCTGCTGTGCTCCAGGCAGAAATCCCAGGCCACTCTGTGAAAACTCACAGCCTCCTCTCGTCCAAGGGCTTTCCTGATCTGCTTGTTTGTTCTCTTTGGCTTGAACAGTGGTGACCATGCCTTACTTATTATCTGTTCTTTAAACCACTGTGCCTTGGACAGCACTCAGCACCCTAAACCCTCTCATAAGGCATTTCTGGAGGGATGGATGGATGGATGGAAGGGGATGGAGGGATGAAAGATGGATGCATGCTTGCATGGATGATGGGGATAGAGGGATGGAGACATGGAGAGATGACAGATGGATGAGTGGGTAGATGGATGGAGGGGATGGATGGATGGAGAGGTGAGAGATGGATGAGTAGGGGGATGGATGGAGAGGATGGAGAGATGCAGAGGTGAGGGATGGATGAGTCGGGGGATGGATGGAGGGATGGAGAGATGCAGAGGTAAGAGATGGATGAGTGGGGGGATGGATGGAGGGGATGGATGGATGGAGAGGTGAGAGATGGATGAGTGGGGAGATGGATGGATGGAGAGATGAGGGATGGATGAGTGGTTACATGGATGGTAGGGATGGAGGGATGAGAGATGGATGAGTGGGGGATGGATGGAGGGGATGGATGGATGGAGAGGTGACGGATGAGTGGGGAGATGGATGGAGAGGATGAATGGATGGAGAGATGAGGGATGGATGAGTGGTTACATGGATGGTAGGGATGGAGGGATGAGAGATGGATGAGTGTGGGGATGATTGGAGAGGATGGAGAGATGCAGAGGTGAGAGATGGATGCATGGTGCATGGATGGAGGCATGGAGAGATGACAGATGGATGAGTGGGTGCATGGATGGAGAGGATGGATGGATGGAGAGATGAAGGATGGATGAGTGGGGGGATGAAGGGAGGATGGAGGGATGCAGAGATGAGGGATGGATCTGGGTGGATGGATGGAGTGAGGATGGTGGGATGGAGGGATGAGAGATGGATGAATGGATGGATGGATGATGGGGATGGAGGGATACAGAGATGAAAGACAGATGAGCGGGTCAATGAAGGAGGGATGAATGCATGGTTAGATGGATGGAGGGATGGGTGAATGGATGGATGATGGTTGGGTGGAGGAATTCTCCAGTGGCACCTGCAGCTTTGTGTGAATTCCCCAGGTCTGCCATATTAAGGCATGTTCTGAGTGTTGGGCTTTGTGTGGGAGCCCTGGGGGATGAGGGGTTGCCAGACATTGGTGGCCCTGAGTGCCAACCCGGGGCTTTGGACTTAACAGGAAAAGCCCAGCATCAGGTTCCTATTACAGGATTTTAAAGGAGCCACAGGACAATGAGTAGCAGGATGATGTCTCTGGGGAAGCCTGAGAGACACAGGAGGGGAGGAGGTGACTTGAGGGCTGGAGGGCAGGTGGGAGGGGCTTGAAAGCATTTATGCAGACGTCTGTATCTATATATATATAATTTTTGTCACTGTAAAATATAAATCTCTTAGGAACCTTAGAGCTCTTAATATTTGAGAGTGATATAGAGTTTTCTTTCCACAGCTTAACTATGTTTTCGCCGAAGACCAACATCAAGAGTGAAGGTAAAGGACCGTCAAGACACAGGAGCAGCTGCACATGGTGTGTGATCTAGTACTCATCCAAGCTCATTTGAAATAGCCCAGACCTTTACAATACTTCAACTGGTTCCTTTCCAAACAGGTAGAAGACCTTATATGTGTGCATGTGTTTATGTACATATGTACACAGATATGTATATCTATATTATTTATATCTTTTTAGCCAAATTTAATTCTTTCCTGTTAATTTTTCAGACATGCTGTGTTCTTACCACCTTAACGCAATTTTGGAATATTAAACTTTTGTTAAAATTTAGTTTAGAAAATGTTGTAGCTGATGCTCACCCTGCCATGCCGGTGGATTGGGTGAAAATGTTGGGGCTGCTGCAGCGCCAGGTGCCCATTCTGAGTGGCCGTGGCCCGTGCCATTGGGAAAGCACCTGTCCACGAGGCTGGCTCACACCGGCTGTGGCTGGCTGTGGGCATGTCCTGCAGACACCTGGGCCCCTTATGACTGGACAGGCAGGCATCTGGGGCCTCTCGCAGTCCTGGATTTAAGATTACCTTGTTCGAGAAGAGATATGGGCTACTGTACTTAAAACCCATTTTAATGTAGGTGGGTCTACTTTGCAATCACTGCATTACTGAGCACCCGTGTTGACTGTGCCCATGCTCACTGCTCTTTTCTGCAGTCTGCTGCTGTCTCTGCCATGTTCTGCTTGATATTATGTGTGGGCTCTCAGCAAAATGCATCCGGCCTTATGCAGATGAAGCATGGCATCACAGTTACATTCAACTCTGACTTTTTTGGTGATTTTTTCTGTGAGGGCCCTGGTTTCCAGGCAGAGCACGCTGTCTCTTCTGCGTTTGACTCTTGTGGGCCTTCTGTTGAGAACTGCTGGGCAGCAATGGTGGCGAGGCCTCCGCATGCCTGCGCAGGGCTCAGGCGTGTACACAGAAGGCATTGGCGTGTACACGGAAGGCGTTAGTGTACACAGAAGACACTGGTGTGTACATGGAAGGCATTTGCAGATGATTTGAGTGATTGACATTACACCACCACCCACAGCGGCCTGAGACTGGAAAGTGAAATTCATTTTCTCTTAGTGAGAACCCTCATCCCTAAATCATCACAGTACTCACATCAGTTTATGTGAAACACAACAAATCCTTGCTGTTTTATATGTAAAATATATGTCTTTTTAGGCGATGAGAAATGTTAGTCTATTTAAAAGAGTTATTTCATGACTTTGAATGTAAGAGTCTAAATATACACATTTATAGATAAATATTCAAGTTTACTGGAATACAATTATACATGTAGATGGGGGGAAGCCCACTTCATTTCTTGGTTATATTTTACTTCTAATCTCACTTTGAGTGTCTCCCGATCATTGTTTCCTCTGGCCTTCCCTCAGGGAGGCATACGCCGTGGACTGCGCTGTGCCTGCCAAGCCTGGTCCCCGGGTCGCCGCAGCCCCCGCCTGCACACGCGTGTGCTGCATCCAGTACTCAGGTGCGCCACGTCCTGCGGGAGCTGGGTAGCATTTCGTTTGTAAGAGTCTTTTATTCTGTCCACTGTAAACATTTTTCTATTGTATCATAAATTGTAAAAATCTTTGTAAAAACCTTGGATAACTTGAAGCTGCATGGGATGGTTTGTGTCTAGATTAAAACCGAGACTTCATTTCACTTGACTGTAGTGAGGGTGACCACAGAGCATCTGGCCCCTGCGTTGGCATGGAGACTGGCACTCACTAGCACTGAATTTGCTGTTCCGTGGCCAGCTCCTCTGGGTTTGGCTCTCTGTGTATCTGACCCCTCCTACAGAAGCGTTAAGGTGGGCCTGGTGGAAGGGCTTTGGTAGGCAGAGAAGCTAGCAGAACAGTCGCCAGTTCCCTCTGGAGACGCGGCCTCTGCTCATGGATGGGCTGGAGGTGCCAGGCTAGGAATGGTTGCACAGGCTGTGCACAGTGTCCCTTCCTTGCCAGACCCTCAGCTGGGGCCTTTTCCTGCAGGGCTGAGTGTGTCTCGGCTTCCGTGAGATCCGCCCTGTTCTCATGTGTGTCCTGATAATGCCTTCACCAGACTTCCATTGGATCTCGGCATTTTTTTTCTTTCTAAATAATGTTTGAAAGAAGGGAGGAGCAGCTTGTGAGAGTGCCCTTGGCCTCGGCTAGATAGTTGCACCACTCGGATGCTTCTCAGAAGCAAGATTGACTTGCAGGCGACCTGTGCCCTTGCCTGGGGCTGGACAGAAAGTCCTGTCTGGGCTGGTGCCTTGCCCCTCAAACCACCTGTCCAGAGGGTTGAGTTGCCTAAGGGTTACCATTTACCATTCTGCTAAATTCCCTTTATTTTATTATATAATTGTAGCCACAGAAGTTTTAAAATCATTTTTGGAAATTAGATATGTAGTATTATCAGTAAAGTCAGTTTGATCTTTGATAGATCAGAACATTTCTTCAGTGTTATCGGCCCTCAAGTTTGAATATTGTGGGTGACGTGTCATTTATTTCTACCCTGTTTTCAGAAATTGTTTCAACATAACTGCTTAGCTGAATGTGCCTCTGGACAGTCTGCTGATTTGAGGCAGGCTCCGGCACCATGTTTCAGGGGCCGTCCTGTCCTGGGTACAGGACCTTTTGGGTGCAGCCCTTCCTGTTCACAACCTTGTGCGGCAGCCTCCCTCTCTCATCCTGCTGTTCCTCTTCTGTTAAGGGAGGCTGATGACAATGACAAAGCAGTGCCTTACAAGGTTGTCGGGTAGAGGACTTGAGAAAGGGTGGACACGGACTGGCGCCTGCAGACCCCCATGCTGATGTTCGTGTGTGTGTTTCAGAACCAAGTTTATGAGAAGTTCTACATCTTGCCTGTGGTTAGTGTGACTCCTATGAATTAGGCTTTTCTAAGAGGCCTTTGTTTTTATTTTTTTAACAGGAGATGGGCAGTGGCTGGCCTGTGGGTTGGCCAACCATCTATGTCAGGTTTTTGATGCCAGCCTGACTGGGACACCTGCTGTGTTTTCAGGTAAAACGTGTCTTAATTTCAGTCAGTATGAATGTAAGGGTGGGTCCCACTTAGGTCCTGGTTGTCAGTTGCTAAATGACAGTTTAGTTTTCTTTGTCTAAACTGGATTCACTGAGCTCTTAAACCATTCAGGGTAGACATAACTAATGAGAACAGCGTGGCAGCACTTTTGTGACTGGTGCCCTGGAGGCCAAGTGCTGATCATCTGTAGAGATTTAGGGGAATGAGTGAAGTTGAATCGTAAATAATTGAAATATATTTAATTAATATAATTAAAAGGCATAAGATTGAAATATATTTTGAAATTTAGTAGGGTTTGTACATAGACATTTTTATAAACATAATAAGGCAAACAATTGTTTTTTGTTTTTTTTTAAAAAAGTAGACCTGAGAGCAACAGTGTTAAAATTACGACCATGTCAACTCATAACTGGGGCATATATTTGATTTCTAATTCTAGTTCCATAAAACCTGACAGCTTTTCATTAGGGTCCTGATACTACTTGCATCAGAACTTACACTTTGTAGATATTTTAACAAAAGTACAGGAACAAACAAAAAAAATATTTCACTAGTCCTTCTGTTTTTATACAGGTTGAGAATCTCTAATCCAAAATTCTGAAATCCAAATGCTCCCACATCCAGAACTCTTTGAGTACCAACACGACGCCAAGGAAATGCTCACTGAAGCATCTCAGATTTCGGATTTTTGGATTAGGGTTGCTTAACTGCCATAATGTGAATATTCCAAAATCCAAAAAAATGGGAAATCCAAAACACCTCTAATCCCAAGCATTGTGAATATGGGACACTCAGCCTGTCATGTAACCACCCCAAGGGCAGTCGTTAGGAAATTCGGAGGTGGGGACCGATGGGGCTGAGGGGGGCGGAGGCAGTGGGGCCCAGGCCTGGGCAAGGCCACACCTGGGAGCAGACGAGCCCCCCAGTGACTATGACTCACCCCCAGGGTGAGGTTTGGGAGGCCCCCAAAGGCAGGCAGAGCCAGACTCGGCTCCTGCATGAGCAAAGCTGACGCCCCTGCATGGTCTGGGAAGAACATAGTTCTCCCGTCTTGGCCTGGATGCCACCCTCTCCTTTTGAGCCTCTTGCTCCTGATCTCACCCCATGTCTATCCTGCATGGCCTGTGCAGATCATGGTTCTCCCACTGTGCCCTGAATGCCACCCTTGCCCTTCAAGCCCCCTTGCTTCTGGTCCCACCAGACATCTATCCCTGTGTGGCCTGGACGCCACCCTTGCCCTTTGAGCACCCTTGCTCCCGCCCCCATCCTGAGTCTATCCTGCAGCCTCAGAGCCTCCACCGTGCACCCCAGAACCTTGAGCCGGCTTCTTTCATGGCTAAATGGCTGATATGGGTGGTTATTCTGTTGATTGGGGATATTTTACCACTATTTTATTGTTAGAAAAATGGCTTTTCCCTGAACTAAAATGCAGTGGGTTTTCAAACTCGTTTTGACAAAAACTTCCTCTGTTTCTGTAGGGGGAAGGGTCACGATTACCTACCTCAACTGCACAAGCCACATCGTTTCACTTTGAGGGTGTAATGTTTAATAGTTACGTCACTCAGCTTTGAAAATGTGACTGGTCTCTCAGCACCTGCCCAGAACACAGAAAAATGAGTGTCTTTATTTCCATTATGATCAGGGACAAATAAGTATAAATTCAAATGCCCTCCTGGAGACTTCGGGGTCTCTGAGTGTACAGTCAGGTAATGCAGCCCAGCCTGAAAGCCACCGAGAGCAATCGTATTTAATTTAAGAAAGGAGTTACATGTTTCTGCTTTAAATTTTATAATGTTTCCTATCAAAAATGGTGTCAATTACAAAGACGGGCACTCCAGTCCCATGCCTTCCTTTGAACACATGCCTGGCACAGAGTAGGTTCTCCGTGATGCTGGATGGTAGGTTCTGAGCACGCTGCGCAGGGGAGCTGCGCTGTCTGTCACGTGCCTGGGAGTCAGTGGTGATCACTGTGAAGTTCTGGGGTCATGCATTTCAGAAGATTAAATCTACAATTCCATGATAGATGTGGAATTGTTTATAAAAAGAATCTTTGTCAAGGTATGAAGTGAAGGTTTGCATCTCTCCTGCTCCTAGGCTGTTGGTTGGCTCGAGCTGTGCCGAGTGGCTTCTGCTCCGCTCCTTCTCTGAGCAGGGACTGCACACATCACCTCTGTGCCACTCACGTCCCCCACCCCTGACTGCTTCCCCCAAGCAGGGCCCATGTCCAGAGGAATCCAGGTCCAGGGGAGGTCTAAAACCCTGACCTAGGCTGGGCGTTGTGGCCCACGCCTGTAATCCTAGTGCTTTGGGAGGCTGAGGTGGGCAGATCACCTGAGGTCTGGAGTTCGAGACCAGCTTGGCCAACGTGGCGAAACCTCTTCTCTACTAAAAAATACAAAAATTAGCTGGGTGTGGTGGTGGGCACCTGGAATCCCAGCTATTTGGGAGGCTGAAGCAGGAGAATAACTTGAACCCAGGAGGCAGAGGTTGCAGTGAACCGAGATTTCACCACTGCACTCCAGCCTGGGTAACAGAGCAAGACTCCGTCTCAAAAAAAAAAACCCAAAAAATAACCCTGACTGGACAGGATTTTAGAATTCTTTTCACTCTATTTCTGAAGCTCCTCATCTCATCCCACACACCACAGGGGAAACTGATCAACTGAAAAGAAAGAGAGAGTCCTTCTGTATAGTGAGGAGATTGAGGGGAGATTGGAAGAGGAACCCATGTGGGGTCCCCCATGGGCCCATTGCTTCGTGGGGATTGGCTCCAGAGGCCCCAGCCATCCCTGCAGTGATTTGTCTTGGATGCACCCTGTGGCCGAAGCACTTCTCGCCTGTGTCTGGGGCTGGAGCTCGGGAGAGGAGGGGGACTCCCCGCATTAGCAGGTTCTGAGGAATCTCCGTGGTTTTCATCCTGGGAGTGGGAGGTCCGTCCCTGACACTTGAGATAAGGACAGGCCAACTTGTCAGGGCTGGGCTGCAGGTGTCACTCTGCAGTCCCTGCATTGCTGGTGCCTCTGCTGGCCTTGGTGGCATAGTTGGCCACTGGGTGCCCAGCAAACACTGTGCTTGTAGGAGGAAGTAGGAAGGACTGGAGAAACACATTCGCAGTCTCACTAAGAAGGAAGAACGTGGGTGGTAGCGGTAGCTTCACCCTCTCTCCTGTGCGACCTCATGCGGCCTCTGTGCAGCCTGTGGGCCAGGTGGGGGGGCTGGTCTGAGTTTGATATTGGAAGAGGGTGGCCACATGGCTGGTAATGAAGTGACTTCTAAGGTCAGTGCCTGGGCGATGCGTCAGGCCCTTGCCACTGGGAGGATGCCCTGACGGCCCAGGATGCGGGCACGGGGTGCTGCAGCAGGTGTCTATGAACCTGCGATATTCTCAGGATGGTGCACAGCTGCGGATGCCACTGGTGTTCAGTACCAGCGGCGTGGAGGGTGTTTATTAATGGCAGTCATGAATGGTGACATTCCTTTGAGTCTCGCAGCTGCTGTTCGCTGAGCAGCGGTGCAGAATGTTTGGAGCTTTCCTTAACTGGCCTTGATACTTCTGCTAAAACTGCCAGAACTCTACACGTGAGGGCAGCAAAGCTATTTCCCATTTTTCTGTGCTGTGAATTTCAGCCCTGTGTTTCCTGGGGCCCTGTTGCAGAACTGAGTTATATTCTTAAGCCTTTACTGGTTTTCCCATCTTTTTTATCTTGGTGCCCTGACAGATATGATGTAGTGAGATTGCAGTTTTTTGTCTAGTCTGTAAATTATCATGTGCAATTCACATGCTGAGGCCCGTGGGATGGGGCCTTCTGCTCCATGGGGAGATCTCGGCTATGACAAGAATTTTCTTGGAAGCTGTGGTTACCCATCCCCTGTGATTTTAATCACAGAATGCTTATCTATGGAGGTGAAACGGGGTCCTTGAGCAGGTCTGGGGTCATTTGTTGTCAGTCTTCTCCCTGTTAACCCAGCTCAAGTGCTCAGGGGGTCAGAGGCTGCAGGGCTGGGCTCCACCTCTCCTTGCGCTCACCTCCCCAGCTTCTCCCCTCTCTCCCTGCTCACCAGGACACATGCCTGGCTTTCTGCTCCAGGGCCGACCTCTGAGAAGACGCCCGTCCCTGGTCGTCTTAGCTTTCTCCTTTCCTCTGTGTCCAGCACTTCTTAGAGCCTTTAGGTGGTGGCAGCTGTGAGGCTGTTTTAAGACACCCCCTGGCCTGACGGCTGTTCTAGTAATTATAAGGCAAGGCAGGTCCACAAAGCAGCACGTGCCCAGGGCCTGGTCCCCAGAGTTAGGTGGGGAGTAGGATGAGGTGGGGACCGGACAGAAAAGCTCTTATGGGTATGTGAAATAAACACTGTTAACCTTGTATCCTACCTTAGTTTAATATCAGAGTGGCACACACTGCCAATATTCAGACGCCCGAAGACCAGCACTGGCACTCTCACAAATCAGCATCAAAACAGCCATTTTGAGTTTGGGCAAAACTTTTCAAATCTGTCACAACAAATGATTGACTTATATGTGTGTGCTCAGTGATTTTTTTTTTTTAAACTTTTTTCTTCAATGTTGATAGCAGTTATTTAAAATACTGATACATTGTCATGCAGTCCATAGATTTCTATACTGTAGTTCATAACACTAGATGCTACCATGTTCTTCTCTGAAAACATACACTCACAGATGCACACATATGTTGAACATCATAGTTTAAGAAATGTGAGGTTTTACACTCCCTGGGTGAGGCAATCATACCCCAAACCTCAGCACCATGCACTATCCGCTCGTAACAAACCTACACCTGCACCTCCTGAATCTAAAATAAAACTTGAAAAAATGAAGCCTGAGGCTTTAGAGCAACCGCCTTCAGAAGCCACATTGAGCCTCTACTGAAGGGAAACAGTGCACCCAGCCTCAGGCTCCACAGCCTCACTGGAGCGAGGAGAAGCCTCATGGTGTGCCTCTGATTACTTGAACCATGCTGTTCCAGTTGTGTTGTATGAAAGCACCAGATAAGTAGCACTCAGTGAAAACGGATTTTAATAATGGAAACAGTAACCCTCTCTGATCACTCCTGTTAGGTCACGACGGGGCAGTTAACGCCATCTGCTGGAGCCATGACCAGAGGTGGCTGCTCTCCACGGCCCAGGACCGGACCCTACAGGTGTGGTCGGTGCATAGGACAGAGCTCGCACTGCTTCTGGTAATGGATGGTCACATCTGCCATGGGCTGTCATTTCCATAGGAGCAGCCCTCAGCTGAGAGCTTCTCTGTTTTACCTTAATAGGAGATGAGGAAAGATACATAAACCAAGAGTTGCTTTAATGGAATAAAAGTTACTGATTAATTAGTTTCTTAAATATGTGTCTACATGTATATATCCACACACACGCAATGGGCACACATGCATATGGTATACAGGTACATACTTACATACTGGCTACACACATGCTTAATTCATAAGGTTAAATCTGTCCTTATGTTTGTTATGGTCTGCGAATGCCAAATGATTAACACTGAAATATTTGAATAATTTTAAATATTGATTCAGTGTGATTTTATAGTCAAGACAGTAATAATGGCCAAAGGCTATTACGTGGGGGAAGTATATTTTGGGGAGAAAAGTGACATGTTGATGAACTTATGGGAGATCATTTGAAAGCAGAACAGGAAAGGAGAGACAGGAAGATACGACCTTACAACTAGGACAGGGAAAGAAGAGGAAACGGTAGGAAACTCATCTTCAAATCATCAAATTATGAGCAGATGACTTGCAAAGAACATAACATAAATGCAGTTCAATTTTCAAAGATGTTGGCATTTATTTTCTATGGGTCTTATATGGAAAGGGGATTGAATATGAGACAGATAAGAAAGGAAGTGTATGTTAGGGAAGACCTAGGGCCTCTCTGAGGGAGGAAGGAGGCGTTTGTGAGAGCCATGGGTGCCACTGGCCTCCTCTGTGTCGTAACATGTTTGGTTGTGAGGTCTAAATTTGAGAGTAGACAGCTCAGAACTACATTTTTAAAAATGTTTTAAATTTCAGCTTTAATAAAATCCTTGCTACTTAGTATGTTTACTGCTAAGTTTCGATTTTCTTTTAAAGTTGTTAAAGGGCTGGAATTCAAAACATTCATTACAGTAAAATTGTAATTATATAATACCTTTCAGAAGGAGTAGGAGGAAACAAAAATTGTAGATTGGGTCTAACAAATATATGTACACATTTAGAATAAATAGATGTTGTGTTTTAAGAAGAAATAATTTTGTGTTTAGAGCAATAGTGTTTTTGTTGACATTTATTATATTGACAATAACTATTGATTTGCATTACAGGGCAAAGACATGTTTTCTAAACCAATACAGTCTGCACAGTTTTATTACATAGATGCCTTTATATTGTTATCTTCTGGCCCTGAATTTCAGCTACTGAAGTATCACATTGACACTTGCAAAGATGAGATTAAGAGGTAGGCAGCCCTCCTCTCTGCATTATTTTTAGATCAGAGGAAGCCATTTCAATAATGTGATGTTAAAAAAGATATTTACATTTTAAAATGTCACGCTAAATTTAATAATAACCTCCTATTACCAAACTACTGATGAGAGCTGAATAATGCAGATGCTACGCATTTTAAACCTTCCTTTGTATTACTATGCGTGGGGCCTTTGGAATGAGAATGTGAGAATTTGGGGGTTTGAGAGACCTGAATTATCATCTCGGCTCTGCAGCATATTGAAGTGATGTCATGTGGGACAAATACTATTGATAATAAAGTTATCAATATATTTCAAATATATACGTATATGTGGGGAATAATAAGTATCTTCTTAGCTACACCTAGCTTGGACAAGTATTAACATTTTTATTATTTATTTGTTTATTTTAGATGGAGTCTCGCTCTGTCACCCAGGCTGGAGTGCAGTGGCACAATCTTGGCTCACTGCAACCTTCGCCTCCTGGGTTCAAGCGATTCACCTGCCTCAGCCCCCTAAGTGGCTGTGACTACAGTTGCACGCCACCATGCCTGGCTAATTTTTTGTATTTTTAGTAGGGATGGGGTTTCACCATGTTAGCCAGGATGGTCCTGATCTCCTGATCTTGTGATCCACCCACCTTAGCCTCCCAAAGTGCTGGGTTTACAGGCGTAAGCCGCCATGCTTGGCCAGTATTAACATTTTACTATCTTTGTTTTCCAAAATTTTTTTGAGAATAAAATATTACAGAGGGAATTAGGAACCAGCCTCCCAGTCCTGTCCTCTTCCCTTTTTCCTCCTTTTGAGATTGTTGTATTGGCTTCCTGGCCGTAGTTTTATATTTTTGCTGTATCTTTAGGTATTCACGTCATTTTATTTTTTTGAGGCTTTGAGTATAATATAAGCACACTTCTCTTAATCAAAGTTACATTTCTGAGATGTGTGACTTTGGTTTGTTAATTGGGGTGGATGCCTTGTGGTTGGGAGGAGACCGGGTCTGCCTGCTTCTCTCATGGAGGAACTTCGGGTTGGGACGTGCAAAGGGCTGGGGCTTCTATCAATAAATGGGCTTGCAAGGAATCCCTGATCTCCATGAGAATGTCCCCACTCTCTCTGTCCCGTGTCACGGCATCCCGGAGTGATTTCTGGCCTGTTCTCGGGGGCAGAGGGGTTGCATGTAGGGAAGGGCTCCAGGACTCAGTGGCCCCTCTCTCAGCTTTCTCTTCAGAGATGCCCAGGCTTTTCAGTCCTAAAGTTTATTTTTACTTATCGGGAGGGAGTTTCACAAGTCAGCTCACCTCCCAGGGTTCCTGTGTCAGCTGGCACTGCCCTTTGCCTCTGAGAGTTCGCAGCTTCTCTTCTGGATCCTGCCTCCTCTTTCTGATCTTGTGGGACTTTCTCTTAGAAATCACTTGGCAGCCACTTCAGTTGGGTTTTGGAAGGTAATGAAGCTAAAGCATTGCTCAGTTACATGTGGTGGTCGATAGGTAGGATTTTCTAAGCATGCAGTGAAATTCCCTATAGAAAAAAACTGGTGCATTTGACCACAGACTGAAGAAGGAGGAGGGGTGGCAGATCTTTTATATGTCAAAAATCACCACAAATAATTAGATGTTAATGGAAAGCCAGTTTTTTTTTCCTAAAGAAAAATTAAGGCCACAAATTCACTTTTTCCCTCAGTATTATAAAATGCGACTTCTTAAGTGATACGAAAACTTTCTTTTCATGTTTAATGTTTCTAAAGATAAGATATTTGTCTTTAAAACATTGTTGTAGTGGAAGGAGAGCAAAAAGATTGGTCATCTTGATTTTCTCTTCCGGATATAAACAGAAGAGCAAATCCAAGCTGGTTTGCAGGCTCTCCATGACGGATGCAGGAGACATGACCTGTTTATCAGCAGTAAATGACTTTTATTCCCGTATCTTTCGCCCAGATTCTGTTGGGTTTTATGCCTACGTGTTGTTCCTCTGGCAGAGGCACGTGCTGAGCATCTCATGAGTGTCAACATCGTGCAGGGCTCTGGGAATGCAGGGACCCTCCTCATGGAGCCCACCGTCTTTGTGTTAATTGTACATGTAATAATTTCATCTCAATGTTGAGAAGGGCCTCACAGGAAACAGAAACATGAGTGCTGTGCAGCTCATGCCATCCTGCAGGTGGGCTGACCTTGCACTTCTGGTGTAGACTTTGTTCACTAATGTGTAGTAATTTAGTTATTCTATACCATCTGCATAACTGGCAAAAATCATTGCGGTTGCTGTTCAAAATAATATGAAATGGAATTCAAAACTTTAATATTTGAGATTTTTATGGCTGACATCATTCCTTTTAATTTTAAAACTTGATTTTAATTTATTTAGGGAAAACTTCCTGATCTTTAGGAATTCATTGTATAAAGTTTTAATTTTCTCAAAGTTAGATCTAAGCTGAAGTCTATTGGAAGGTTTTATAGTTGCACTAAAAAAGCGTTAGGAGGTTGTAGTATGTTTTAGTTAGAAATGTGGTAATTTCATGCTAGAATAGGTGCTAAAATACCTAGCAGAAATAAGAAATATGTCATTAGGATTATTCTAGCCTAAATGATGTTTTCTGGAATACAAGAGTCCTAGTGTCGAGAATAATCCAGTGCTAACTGCAGCCTTCGGGTCTCTTGACTCCAGTGCACCTGTATTCCCCCCATCTGGTAGGAATATATAATTGTAGTTATGAGTATATATAATATACTCATGACTACAGCATTCAGGGCTGAGCATGAAGCTTGTGGGGTGTTGGTGATCGCAGGAGCCCTCAACGTGAAAGTGCTCCTTTTATGTCAAGTTGATGAAGCACATCATGGTCACTTGCCAACATGGCACTGTCGGGGTTGTGTGCTCCCACCATAAAGCCTGCCCCAGGGACTGTCTGTCATCCACTCTGTGGGTCTGTCTAATCTTAGTTCAGTCCTTTCTTCTGAGCACAATATCTACATACTCAATTATTTGACATCCAATTTGGGTGTTTCATGAACATCTCAAACACCACGTATCTAAAACTGGAACTTCTACCCCAAAATAGGCACTGTGGTGGTCTCCCTTTTCCTAAGCATCCCCTCCATCGCTGCCCACCTGCTCTTGCCAATGCCTGGGGCCAGATGCGGTGGAGCTGGACTGAGCTCAGGACTTTTCCCGTGGAACTTCAGAAATTCTTAACTAGTCGTCCCTTCATGAGTCTTCTAATATTCTAAAGTTTTTATTAGTAAAAGAGAGGGAACTGTCCCTTCCCTGTAGGTAAGAGTGTTGAGAAGAGCTCCTTAACTGGAATAATGCAGACATCGTACTCACAGCTGGCCGGAACAGGACGGTGGAAGTGTTTGATCTCAACGCCGGCTGCAGTGCAGCCCTGATAGCAGAAGCCCACTCGCGGCCTGTCCATCAAATCTGCCAAAATAAAGTGAGTAAGTTTTTGGATAATAGATATCATCTGTAAAACTATGTGCCTAAAGTGTTTAACAGATACAAATGTATGATGCCATTTTATAAGTGCTTGCTACCAAATTCAATGTTAATTTTTATTGCTCATTAAATTATTCGAAGCCTTGATGTTTGACCTTAGTAGATATTTTACTATCATGTGGAATGTTAAGTTTTGTACTTTTGTGTTTGACCATTTTATGGGCCGATATTAAGATTTTACTAGTAAAACATTCTCACATAAAACTTGATAGGGTTGCATATTTTAAGCAATAATGGCATTGCATGGGGAACACACAGGTGCTATGGACTGTGGGGCAGCCTTGCCAAATCAATAGCTTTTTTTTTTTTTTTTTTTAAAGTGGAGGCTGTTGGATGCAGCCAGTCCATTTTGACAGAGACAAAGTTTACAAGTATCCACAGTGGTGGGTTAAAGGGTTGGCATTACAGGAGAGACATTTGATGAGTTTGTTGTCTGGTAACTGCACAGTTCAAAAGACACTTGCTTACCTAAGAGGGCATCTAAGTCTTGGGAACAAAACTGTATTTCCTAGGACTAAAACTGCAATTTTGGTTTTTGATATGCCTGGAAAGGTTTTCCAAGTCAAGGATTCAGGGTACCATTTTGCTAAGTGAAGTGTTGGTATGTTGGTTAAAGAGATTTTGTTATCCACAGTTTAACACATTTTGAGTCTTCAAATTTCTGTTTAATAGGACGGGTATGGCCTGATTATCTAAAAGTTTTTTAATCAGTTCAAATGGGAAAGAGCAAAGATTCTGGGCTGTTAAATTACATTGAAGCAGATTTGTTCCTGTGTCTCTTCTGGGGAAAGGGAAGATGGAGGTGGTGGGGCCACAGGAAGATGTTCACAGGTGCAGTATGAAAGACCCCTGGATTCAGAGGCTCCATGTCCAGGGAGACAGTCTCCATACATGTCCGTCTGGACAGCTCTTCAGAGAGGCAGATCCGGGACTTGGCAGTGTGGAGTAGTCAGAGCTTTGGAGGCCAGGAAGATGCACGCCTGGGGAGGCTGCCTGCTGAGGAGAAGCCAAGCTCTGTGCCCTCCCTGTGGGGCAACCTTGGTCAGAGAAGGAAGGGTTTCAAGGTTCTGATAGGCGTCTTTATCTTGCCTTCCTTTTAACCTTCCACGCTCCACCCCCGGTTAATAGGACATTTCAAGTTGCAACAGGAGAAGGCTTCTCTGGTTTGAATAACACCATGGAAATATCAGCTTGGGGAGAGTTGTTGGAGAAAATATTATTTTTCTGCATCTTCTCTTTTTGTTTAGACTCTTCCTGCATATAAACCAGAGCAAACATATTTGTTTTTTTTTTTTCCCCATTTATTTATTTTATTGCATTGTTGCATAGGAACACACGTGGCAGTGTGATTTGCTGCCTTCCTCCCCATCACCTACATCTGGCATTTCTCCCCTTGCTATCTCTCCCCACCTCCCCACCCCCCACCATCCCTCCCCTATTTCCCCCCAACTGACCCCAGTGTGTAGTGCTCCCCTCCCTGTGTCCATGTGTTCTCATTGTTCAACACCCGCCTATGAGTGAGAACATGCGGTGTTTGATCTTCTGCTCTTGTGTCAGTTTGCTGAGAATGATGGTTTCCAGGTTCGTCCATGTCCCTACAAAGGACCCAAACTCATCGTTTTTGATGGCTGCATAATATTCCATGGTGTATATGTGCCACATTTTCCCTATCCAATCTATCGTCGATGGGCATTTGGGTTGGTTCCAGGTCTTTACTATTGTAAACTGTGCTGCAATGAACATTCGCGTGCACGTGTCCTTATAGTAGAACGATTTGTAATCCTTTGGATATATACCCAGTAATGGGATTGCTGGGTCAAATGGAATTTCTATTTCTAGGTTCTTGAGGAATCGCCACACTGTCTTCCACAATGGTTGAACTAATTTACACTCCCACCAACAGTGTAAAAGTGTTCCTATTTCTCCACATCCTCTCCAGCATCTGTTGTCTCCAGATTTTTTAATGATCACCATTCTAACTGGCGTGAGATGGTATCTCAATGTAGATTTGATTTGCATTTCTCTGATGACCAGTGATGATGAGCATTTTTTCATATGTTTGTTGGCCTCACGTATGTCTTCTTTTGTAAAGTGTCTGTTCATATCCTTTGCCCAGTTTTGAATGGGCTTGCTTGTTTTTTTCTTGTAAATCTGTTTTAGTTCTTTGTAAATTCTGGATATCAGCCCTTTGTCAGATGGGTAAACTGCAAAAATTTTTCCCAATCCGTTGGTTGCAGATTCACTCTAATGATTGTTTCTTTTGCTGTGCAGAAGCTGTGGAGTTTGATTAGGTCCCATTTGTCTATCTTGGCTTTTGTTGTCAATGCTTTTGGTGTTTTGGTCATGAAGTCCTTGCCTACACCTATGTCCTGAATGGTTTTGCCCAGATTTTCTTCTAGGGTTTTTATGGTGTTAGGTCTTATGTTTAAGTCTTTAATCCATCTGGAGTTAATTTTAGTGTAAGGTGTCAGGAAGGGGTCCAGTTTCTGCTTTCTGCACGTGGCTAGCCAGCTTTCCCAACACCATTTATTGAACAGGGAATCCTTTCCCCATTGCTTGTTTTTGTCTGGTTTGTCAAAGATCAGATGGTTGTAGATATGTTGTGTTGCCTCCGAGACCTCTGTTCTGTTCCATTGGTCTATATCTCTGTTTTGGTAGCAGTACCATGCTGTTTTGATTACTGTAGCCTTGTAGTATAGTTTGAAGTCTGGTAGTGTGATGCCCCCCGCTTTGTTCCTTTTGCTTAGAATTGACGTGGCTATGCGGGCTCTCTTTTGGTTCCATATGAAGTTTAAGGTGGTTTTTTCCAGTTCTGCGAAGAAGGTCATTGGTAGCTTGATGGGGATAGCATTGAATCTGTAAATTACTTTGGGCAGTATGGCCATTTTCACGATATTGATTCTTCCTAACCATGAACATGGAATGTTTCTCCATCTGTTTGTGTCCTCTCTTATTTCATTGAGCAGTGGCTTGTAGTTCTCGTTGAAAAGGTCCTTTACATTCCTTGCTAGTTGTATTCCTAGATATTTTATTCTCTTTGTGGCAATTGTGAATGGAAGTTTGTTCTTGATTTGGCTCTCTTTAAGTCTGTTATTGGTGTATAGGAATGCATGTGATTTTTGCACATTGATTTTGCATCGTGAGACTTTGCTAAACTTGCTTATCAGTTTCAGGAGGTTTGGGGCTGAGACGATGGGGTCTTCTAGATATACAATCATGTCGTCTGCAAATAGAGACAATTTGACTTCCTCCTTTCCTATTTGAATACCCTTTATTTCTTTTTCTTGCCTGATTGCTCTGGCTAGAACTTCTAATACTATATTGAATAGCAGTGGTGAGAGAGGGCATCCTTGTCTGGTGCCACATTTCAAGGGGAATGCTTCCAGTTTTTGACCATTCAGTATGATTTTGGCTGTTGGTTTGTCATAAATAGCTTTTATTATTCTGAGATACGTTCCATCGATACCTAGCTTATTGAGGGTTTTTAGCATAAAGGGCTGTTGAATTTTGTCAAAGGCCTTCTCTGCATCAATTGAGATAATCATGTGGTTTTTGTCTTTGGTTCTGTTTATGTGGTGAATTACGTTTATAGACTTGCGTATGTTGAACCAGCCTTGCATCCCCGGGATGAAGCCTACTTGATCATGATGGATAAGCTTTTTGATGTGCTGTTGCAATCGGCTTGTCAGTATTTTATTGAAGATTTTTTGCATCTATGTTCATCATGGATATTGGCCTGTAGTTTTCTTTTCTTGTTGAGTCTCTGCCAGGTTTTGGAATCAGGATGATGTTGGTCTCATAAAATGATTTGGGAAGTATTCCCTCTTTTTGTATTGTTTGGAATAGTTTCAGAAGAAATGGTACCAGCTCCTCTTTGTATGTCTGGTAGAATTCAGCTGTGAACCCATCTGGACCTGGGTTTTTTTTGGGTGGTAAGCTCTTAATTGCTGCCTCAACTTCAGACCTTGTTATGGGTCTGTTCAGGGTTTCGGCTTCTTCCTGGTTTAGGCTTGGGAGGAGGCAAGTGTCCAGGAATTTATCCATTTCTTCCAGGTTCATTAGTTTGTGTGCATAGAGTTGTTTGTAATAATCTCTGATGATGGTTTGAATTTCTGTGGAATCTGTGGTGATATCCCCTTGATCGTTTTTTATTGCATCAATTTGGTTATTCTCTCTTTTCTTTTTTATTAATCTGGCTAGTGGTCTGTCTATTTTGTTGATCTTTTCAAAAAACCAGCTCCTGGATTTATTAATTTTTTGAAGGGTTTTTTTATGTCTCTATCTCCTTCAGTTCTGCTCTGATCTTAGCTATTTCTTGTCTTCTGTTTTATCTTGCTTCTCTAGCTCTTTCAGTTTTGACGATAAGGTGTCAATTTTTGATCTCTCCTTGCTTCTCATGTGGGCACTTATTGCTATATATTTTCCTCTAGAGACTGCTTTAAATGTGTCCCAGAGATTCTGGTATGTTGTGTCTTCATTCTCATTGTTTTCGAAGAACATCTTTATTTCTGTCTTCATTTCATTGTTTATCCAGTCAACATTCAAGAGCAAGTTGTTCAGTTTCCATGAAGCTGTGCGGTTCTGGGTTAGTTTTTGAATTCTAAGTTCTTACTTGATTGCACTGTGGTCTGAGAGACTATTTGTTACGATTTCCGCTCTTTTGCATTTGCTGAGGAGTGATTTACTCCCAATTATGTGGTCAATTTTAGAGTAGGTGTGATTTGGTGCTGAGAAGAATGTATATTCTGAGGATTTGGGGTGGAGAGTTCTGTAAATGTCTATTAGGTTTGCTTGGTCCAGGTCTGAGTTCAAGTCCTGGATATCCTTGTTAATTTTCTGTCTGGTTGATCTGTCTAATTGATCTGTCTAATGTTGACAATGGGGTGTTAAAGTCTCCCACTATTATTGTGTGGGAGTCTAAGTCTCTTTGTAAGTCAT